TTCGCTTGAAGGGTTCCTTTAAAGCTTAGGGTTTAAAACTTGGGGTTTAGGGTGAAGGGTTTAGATTATGGGGTTTCAGGTTTAGGGCATAGCCCTCATTCCTAACACCCTCAACAATCCAAACGTTACCTACAAAAAGGCAGTCTGGTGGTCCAGGTAGGCACCTTGCACTTTGTGAGGTGATAAGGGGTTCATGGTCCACAGTCTATGCTTCAAGATTTGAGGGTAGCGGTTTGGGGCTTGAGGGTTAACAGTTTCTCAGGCCGAGATGAGAAACACGCGATGATCTGCTGAAGACTGCGACTTAAGGCATTAGTAGAGACGGCAGTCTCAATATGTCCAGCTCCCTCAGATCAGGCCTAGACGAGATTTGTCGTGATAAGTGCCTGCGCTGACGACTATTGTTATGCAGCTCACGTGTGAGACGTTGGCACCGAGCCACAGCACGGCACATCTGAAAGACCGTCGAAAGCGTACGAGTGCGGGGCGATAAGGGTGGTGCAGTTGAGTGTACCCAGAGATCCCAATACCTCTTAATTAAGGAATATACCTTAAATCATAATATGAAGCTTAAATCATAATATGAAGGTTCCCTATAAATTAAGGTATATTCCTAAATTAAGGGGTTTTGGGTTCTCTGGGTACCGGGCAAGCTCTGCTCTCAGAACCTGTTTACGGCTTAGATCGCAGTCCTCCCCTACCCTCACAAGGGAAGGCCCACATGACTTGGTGCATCGATGCGTAGAACTCCAACTGTTCATCTTGTAGCAAGAAGATGAGACTCCAGTGCCACGTCTCCAGTGAAATCCAATTTCGAGTATGTGGTTCTGCTTGGGTTTTGGGTCTCGGCCTATGACTTATATAGGGTTCAAAGTTTCAGGTTCGGATGTCGGGTTTAGGGCCTAAGGTAGGGGCCTTAATACTTAGAAGAGGATTCTGGGGCACATTATACTATAGTTATATTAATAAGGAACCCCCAAGATAGTATAGGTAATTGGGTGGTTGTCAAAATTATGGTCCCGTTTGGAGTACCCTAAATAATAGGCGCAGTATTAGAATAGGGACCCAAAAAAGGACCATAACTTTGACAACCACCGAATTATTACGGGCCCTATAGTAAGGCTTTAGGGATTTGGGATCTAGTCACCTCCTCTGGAGTCCCCAAATCAGCAGAATGGGAGTTTCCCAAAATAGGGGACCCTAACATAGTAGCCTAAATAGTCGGATCCTTGTTTTCAGGACCCCAAAACAAGTATACCGAATTTTCGGAAACTCCTATCTAGAAAGTACCCCATGTTCGACAGGCAAATGCAGATTTTTGATTGTAGAGATGTGATATCACAAGCAACACAAAGGACAAATGTTTCATACTGAGATCGCCCAAAAGCGCGATTTGCCCCTGATGCAAGTAAGCAATATGCGTAGATGTCAAGGAAGTCTGAGCATTGCTTCTTTTGTGCTCTGAACAAGAATTGAGGGTGTGTTATTTAACTGAGGCAGTATGATGTCTCGGCTTTTGCATCCTGCTTGTCAGATGCAGTTCTGAAAACAAGGGACCTTGATATAGACCTTCAGGCAGGAAATCAGGACCTCTAAAGAGGGTACCCCCTAAACCCTAAGCCCTCGATAAAACCCTGATGCCCCGTCCTGCTTGTCTTCGCACGGCTGGAGGCCTTGGCGATCAGAATTCGCGGCTGCTAAAGATAAGGTGCGGGTCCCTTTAGGTTTAGGGTTCAGCACGGTGTAGGGTTTGAGGTGCATGGGAAGAGTTTCTGAGCCTATGGGATCAAGTGCCCAAAGAATTTACATAACAAACAGCAGCATTCAGAGCATGGCGCTTGAAATCCCAAACCCTTCCTGCCTTAAGGACGAAATGAACCCTAAAAGGGTTTAAGGTTCATATACCATGTAGGTATTCATAGTATATGGGTATAAGGCCCCTACTTTCAAGGGTCATTTGGTCCTTCAGGTGTTGTTGGATCCGGTACAAGACTTCTTTGCCGGGGTCCAACAGAAGGACAGCGATCAGGGCTTAGGGCGTTTAGGCTTCATCTGCCTACTTGGAGGGGCAGGGGACTTAGTAAGTAGGTTATAAGTAGAGTTATAATCACCCTAGATGGAGTTACCCCAATTAAAACCGTACTTATAACCCCACTTACTAAGTCCCCTGCCCTTCCAAGTACGCCAAGCTTACACATCGTTTGTCAATGTTTGAATGGGTAGCAAACCCTAAACCCTAAAACCGATGAAGAAGCCAAATTGCAGACCCTCCCGGTGCTAGCAAGGCTCACGCGATGGCTGCGTCTTTCTTAAGGGATCATGGGACTTAGGAACCAGGGTACTTGTTCTAAGTAGAGCACTTACAGTTATACCTATTTATAACCCCACTCCATACGGTGGTCATAGTAACGGCTTAAGGTGACTGTAGCAGTTATGCTCATGTATAGCCCCACTTAAGGTACTTGTGCTTTTGACCTTACTTGCCCCAGAATAAACACCCAGGCTCAAGCCCCCAAAACACAAGCTGAGGCCCCGGGCCCAATCCATGGTTGCTAGGAAGGTCACAGCCCGCTGCGGAGGCTGTGGAGTGGTGCGAGCTCCGAACCACTCCGGTTTCGAAGTTTGCGCCTTCGGCTAAAGGCTTCTCTTCGAGGATCCTCTGCAATGGAAGCCTTTTGATATACATAGTTGCAACCTCGTTTGCCAAAGTGAAAGGATACAAGTTTCCATCCTGGGTAATCCAAATGTCCTAGAGTTCTTGAGAAACGGATGCTGCTGCCAAAGCCCAAAACTGCAGGCGGAAAGCAAAATCCGACATGCAGAATGAGCGATACGGGGCCTTAAGGGTTTGGGGTCTAGGGTATAGTACGTGATGTACTTCAGGGGCACTAACCAATTGAACTCGGTCCGGAAATTGCAACTAACGGCTCCATGAATAAATAACCCTACTATAGGGGCCTTAATAGTTAGAATAGGGTTTGGGGGGAAAACAATCTCATCATGTTACGGAAGCCCCAGAATAGTAGTGGCAATTATTTAGGCCCCCATAGTACACATCCTGTTCTGCTCATCCGAAACAACCTGAAACCCCAAAACCGGATGGGGAATGTTATACACGAACTAAACACGAAACCCCTAACCCTAAATCCTACTGTACAGCCCGAAATCCCGTATGAACCCTATGAGCAAGGAAGCTTCCCAAAACCACAGTTCAACATCAATGCGCTGAGCAAGTCTGCCCTCTGTCAATGACTACATGATTGTCCCTAAACCCTAAAGCATCAGAGCTATGCAAGGCTTCTTCTGAGCTGATGGCACCGGGATGAGATTGGACGGAGCATCCGTCCATGTGCTCCCAAGAGGGTCCATATATATATATATATATATATATACTACTATTATGGAATTAAGACCCCAAAACCATAATGGAGATGGTCTTCTGAGACCTGATTCCATAATGGCGCTATATATGGACCCTCTGGCATCTTACGGCATGGAGCATTTGGGGGGTTCAGGGTTTTGGGGCTGAAGGCTCTGGGTCCAAAAAGGGGTTTAGGGTTTAGGGGTTTAGGGGTTTAGGGTTTAGGGTTTAGGGTTTAGGGTTTAGGGTTTAGGGTTTAGGGTTTAGGGTTGGTTCAGGTGTTCCTTTGTCGTGCGAGCTCGCGGTGTAGCTTAAAGGCAGCTTGTGTCAATCATCCGACAGCCCAACATGAAAACAGAAGCCCCCAGCATCCCATACCTCACAAGCTATTTCTGCCACTTTCCTGCAGAAAGCGTGCTCTGTCTCTGTCTGTGCACGTTGGCTAGTGGTAGAAGCCCGGCGCGAGAACGATGCAAGGCCCAACAATTAGCAGCATTATCCCCTTACCGGCCGTGTATCACTAACTATGCCGTCCTGTTAAACCCCCTTTTTCTACCCGGGAAATTGGCCAATAATTCGGCCGTAAATACCCGATGTCAGAAGCTACGTTTAGGGTCTGAGTACCCTAGCTCAAACAAATGTTAACCCATTCAATTATATACGATAATTAAGACTGCATAAACTCCAAAAGGTTAAAGGTTACCTATGCCGCTACTACGTATAAGTCTCCATGACGGGAATCTCCTCGGGAGGTTCTGGTAGGAAACACTAAGCTAAACCCTACACCTCCACGCCTAACATTTAAATACATGTAAGCACCAAACCGACAGCCTAAACCAAACCCCCAATCCAAAAACCAGGTTTTTTGAGTTCAACGTAGCTCCGACAAGGAATTCTCTGGTCTGCGTAATGTCCAGACTCTAGGATTTGGGGCTTGCAGAGAGCATTCGGGGTCGAGGGTTGATCTGTGAAAGTACAACTACGGAAATCATGGTTCAGGATTTTAGGGATCCTTGGTTTGGGGCGTCAGTGCTTGGTGTCATCTCTTCGACCCAGAACGACCCTAATCCGGACCTGAGCCCAAACGACTGAATCAACCCTGACTCGGAAAACCTGCATGAACTTTTAAACCCAAACCCCAACACACCCGAGTTTCTGTCGTCGTAAACCAGCGATATGGGTACTACGTACTGGCCGGCTTCCACCATCCCGGTTTGGGAAGGCCACGAACTACGCGATGCTGTCTCGAATTCGCACAAATTCTTCACACCATCAGGGCCGCGCTAGGGCCATGAGGGTTGGTGATTTTAGGGTTTAACTTTATGGGTTTAGGGTTTCGGGCTTAGGGTTTAGAGGTTTAGGGTTTAGGGGCTTAGGGTTGAGGGGTTTAGTGTTTAGGGGTTTAGGGTTTAGGGTTTCGGGGGGTTAGGGTTTAGGGGTTTAGGGTTCAGGGTTTAGGGTTTTAAGGTTTAGTGTTTAGCTTTGAGGGTTGAGGGTTCTGGGCATAGGTTTCAGGGTCCAGGTTTTAGGGTTTAGGGTTTCGGGTTTGGGGTTTAGGGTTTTGGGCTTAGGGGTCTGCTTGGAATTTAGGTTTTCGGTAGGGTTCGAGGTAAGCCTGGGGTACCGACCCTAAAGCAGCTCACTCGGTTGGCATCGTCACATTGATCTGGTGCGTCTTCCGAGAGAACTTGGCCCGCACCTGCGACGGCAAGACCTCGGCCGGGAGATAGAAGCCCCTTACAGGTAGGTAATTCCTCTTCCATAGTACTCCCATAAGACCCCCTTTACCTTATAGGAGTGGTATGGGAGGCTTATGGGAAACTACCCACCTTATAACTACCCACCTGTAAATGTCTTAGAGGAGAGGCCCGAAGCTCTAAATCCTAAGACAGGGGCCTTAATAATCAGAGTAGGGTTTTGGGAAGGACCCCCCCCCAAAAAAAATAGAATCCTACATGGAGGATCATGGGACTTAGTAAGTAGGGTTATAAGTACCTTAATTGGGGTTATAAGTAGTTATGTCTGTAGCCAACTTGCTTATAACCCCAATTACTAAGTCCCATGATCGTTTAAGTACACCCTGCCTGCACCTCATAAAACCTGCCCGATTGTGATTTCCTTGTAAAACTTCTTAAGGAGGTATGTTTTCTAGGGTCCAGGAGTGCAGGTAAACCCTAAACCCTAAACCCCAATCCCTAAGCCACGGTGAGCCGAGACCCAACATATCTCTAAGCACCGCGGGTCTAACAAGAGTCTAGGGCTTCGATGTTGGATACCATCCCAAACCCGAACCCTGAACGAACGGAAAACAACACCACAAGGAATCACGGCTAGGATGGGAGCTCTGAAGCTTGCTTTCTAGGGCGTCAGATCTAGGGTTTCAGGGTTCAGGATTTCCGGGTATACTCAGAGGCTCCACAGTAGTTCCTTTTTGGGATTACCTTATAGGATTCTAAACATGAACCCCAAAAAGGAACTACTATGGAGACTTAGGGTAGAAATCAAGGTTAGGGTTCGAGGTTGAGGGCTTATTACTGTTTAGGGCTACGGAGGTTTGGGGACAAGACTTTTGGCTACCAAGGCGAGCGCTAGGGCCACCACACAGAGTTGTGATTCTATGCTATATTGTGTTTTGCTACGACTACATTACCTGGACCTTGAAGTAACCACGGAAAAAAGTATAGACTTTTGTTTCATAATGGTTCCTTTAAGGAACAGGTACCCCAAAAAAGTATTCAAGTATGGTACTCCAAAACCAGGTTACAATACAGTATACCGTAGCGTGTTAGAACTAGCAATGTCGAGTGCAAGCGCCTGCATTCATGTTCACAGGGCCAAGCATCAGCGCGTAGTCGTTAGGGATTCCCAGGCCGCTGAAGGGCGATCATTCGCAAGATGATAACAAGACTGACAGACACAGTACCACCATACAATGTTGACGCTGGTGGGCCGCGCCACGCAGTGACGTTCATGCGCTCAAGAGCTGTCAGCACCTGGAAAACATTCATGAAGATAACAGACCAGTCGAACTCAAATCTCACTTGTTGTGGCAACAGAATACCTATATTAGATATTTAACGACCCTTGCAAACCCATCACAGACCCTTCAAGCACCTCGTCACAAAACATTCAACAAGACCGTAATGAAAACTTCGGAAACCCATCAAACCCTACAGAACCCTAATGGGTGGTTGTCAAAATAATGGTCCCTTTTCGGGTCCCTATTATAATACGGCGCCTATTATTTGGGGTACCCAAAAAGGGACCTTAATTTTGACAGCTACCCTAATAGTACCCTTATGGAAATTTTCAAAAATTAGAAGGTACCTTCTTTGGGGTGTCCTTATAATAAGGATCCTACTATTTAAGGAAACCCTAAACCCTAAACCCGAAACTCCCTTCTAGCTGCAGCCGCAGTACTGCTTTCGGGAGCTTCACCTGGCCCAGTCAGCTGCCCGGACGGGGTTTTGGGGGATGCCAAGAGTTGTAGGGTTTGGGGGTTAAGGGTTTTTTTTTTAGGGTTAGGGTTTAGGAGTTAAGGGGTTTGGGGGTTAAGGGGCTGAGGGGTTTAGGGGTTTAGGGTTTCGGGCGAAGGGGTTTGGGGCTTAGGGTTTAGGCTTGAGGCTGAGGTTTTATGGTTCGGTCGTTGTAGGTTTCTTTTTTTTGAGTTCGCAATCGAGTTATCGGTTTGGGGCTTCCTTCCGGTGTCTCGGGTCTCGTGTATGGGTTCAGACATCCCGACACCGCATCAACACGGAACGCACTTAATACGTTGATGAATCGATAGGTACCCTGGTTATAGAACGGTTACGGGTGTAATGCAAGGTCTGTATAATGAACCCCAGAAATTCGGAACATGGACTTAGGATGATTCATGCTGGGTCTCCCTTTACTTTAACTGTTAAACTTGAAGGGGCGCGGGGATACGGCTGCTCCAATCGGAGCATTTGGGAGTTTCCGAAAGTAGGGGACCCTAATATAGTACCCTAAATACCCCAAATGAGGTACCCCAATTTTCGGAGACTCCCATTTGTAGCTTGAAGATGTACTTCTCCAAGTTGCCCTTTTGCGACTCCAGCTGCTGCACCAGGGTGGACCACGCCATCGGTTCCCAGAGATCCCAATACCCCTTAAATAAGGAATATAACTTAAATCCAAGGGGCCTTAATATTATGATTTAAGGTATATTACTTAATTAAGGGGTATTGGGATCTCTGGGTGTGGCAACGGTAGCAGGTTCTGGCCATGGCCCATGCATCGGAGAAACAGGTGTTGGGGCTAAAGCCACACAGCTAATGCCAAGAGCAGCAATCAGGCAACGCAAAAGCAAGTGCACGCACACGGAAGGAAAGGAGAGGAGACAGCGAACAAGAAGTGGGGGGGACCCAGTACAAAAAGGGGGAGGGGGGGAAGGCGGGTTGTGTGGGTTGGTCTGCTCCTGGCGCACCAGCTGTCACATGCGGCCAACCCATGTGACGGCCCACAGAGAGTGGCCCAACACGCAGCTTAGGGAACAACCGAAATTTGAAACCCTACAAACTATCCGAGGACGAGAAGGGCGTTAGCAGCGGTCCGATGTTTTTTTGTTCTTTGGAAGGGTTTTAAGAGCATCGATGGCTCTGTGCCCAAGACCGTAAACCGCTTAGTCTTCCCATAAGATTTATGATCGGACCCGGTGAGATAATGTGAAAAGCCCTTGACCCTAAATCAAAAGAAGCAGAGAACCCCTTGAACCCTACACCCTAAACACCCGAAGCCCTAGACACCCTAAACACCCAAAACCCTAAACACCCTAAACCAAAGGAAGCAGAGAACCCTACCTGAAGCAGGTAATGACCCTCAAAAGTAGGGGCCTCATACCCAAAAGCTATGAATCCCTATATGGTATATGAACCTTAAACCCTGTTAAGGTTCATTTCGTCCTTGAGTTACCACACCCTAGACCCTAAACACCCTAAAACCCCTAAAAATCCAAAACCCTAAACCTAAACACCCTAAACCAAAGGAAGCAGAGAACCCTACCTGAAGGACCAGATGACCCTGAAAAGTAGGGGCCTTACACCCATATACTATGAATCCGAAAAAAGGTATATGAACCTTAAACCCTTTTAGGGTTCATTTCGTCCTTAAGGTACCCTAAACCCTAAACCCTAAACCCTAAACCTTAAACCCTCAACCCTAAACCCTAAACCGTACCGACACCCTAAACTGAAGGAGATGCTGCCTGCAGAGGTCGCAGATTTGCCGAGGCTGGGAAGACCACCGTCGCGGCCTCCTTTGTCACGTCCAGGTCCTTGGAAACTACTACTACTACTACTACTACTACTACTACTACTACTACTACTACTACTACTACTACTACTACTACTACTACTGCTACTGCTACTGCTACTGCTACTGCTACTGCTACTGCTACTGCTACTGCTACTGCTACTGCTGCGCTACTGCTACTGCTACTGCTACTGCTACTGCTACTGCTACTGCTACTGCTACTACTCTACTACTACTACTACTACTACTACTACTACTACTACTACTACTACTACTACTACTACTACTACTACTACTACTACTCCTACTACTAGGATCATGGGACTTAGTAACTGGGGCTATAAGGAAGGTAACTATAGTTATCATTGCTTATAACCCAACTTAAGGTACTTATAACTCTACTTACTAAGTCCCATGATCCTTCAAGCAGTAGGGACACAAACAAAAGCACATCAGCATAAGCATTTATAGGGGTCTCCCTACCTTTTTGGGCTTCATTATAAGGAGCTTAAATGTGATATCCCTAGCCATATTCTTGCTTATGTGCTTCTTTGGAGCCCAAACTAATATAGCAGAAGAGCGGTTCGGGGGTGGGTTATACCCTAAAACTATAGAATAGTATTACTAATTATTAAAGCTTCTACTTTAGAGCTCTATATGGGTTTTGTACAGTCTTGTTCAGGGTTTTGGACCGCTTGCGTCAGGCTTCTGTAAACTGCTATGCTTATGCGGACCCTCACATTGGCCTTCTTGGGCAAAGGCTTTGCTAAGGGCCTCGAGGCCTTTGGGCTTAGGATTTAGGGTTTAGGGTTTAGCCATACGGTTGATGATATAAATCCTGCATGACCCATTATAAGGAATATACCATAATTCCCATAGTTTCGGGTCCTTAAGGTCATGCAGGATTTATATCATCAACAGTAGAACCTCCAAAAAGCCCAGAATCGCTGCAATCCAGCTAGAAGGATCAGAGGACTTGGTAAATAGGACCAGCATCATAAGCAGTGCACTCCCAAGTAAGGCATTTCCTAGACCATGAGCTTCCAGGCAAACCCTGCGCTCTAGATCCTAAACCCTAAACCCTGAACACTAGACCCTGTTATAAACCCTGAATCCTAAACCCAAAGCCCTAAACCCTCGATCCACAACCACAAGGTAAAAGGCCCTACCTCGGAGAAGCCTTCCGACACGTGACACGCTGGAAAATTATAGGGTTCAGTGTTTAGGGTTTAGGGTTGGATTAGGGTTCAGGGATTGCAAACACTATGATACTTCTTGAGCAGCATCAAATTACCCAGAAAACCCGCCGAATTCTCCCCCCCCCCCCCCCCCCCCGATGTGCTGTCTCCCTTTAGACCCCTTTCAAATCCCGTCTGATGCCCACTCACCGCAGCCTCATGAAACGCTTGTGGCGTGTGAAAGCCCTTATGTACCCACTGCCTTAAACTACAAAATCTGCCTTTTTGTTGGCTCCCTGTAAATTTCTTTATTCGGCTGCATAATAGGAACCTACAAAAAGAGTAGGTTATTGCAGTTTACGGTAACTATGAAACCCTTATGTAACCATTAACCTCTCAACCCTCAACCCCTGCAATCTTCTCCAAGAAGCCCCTTATGTAAACCCTAAACCCTAAACCCTTATGTATCCACTAACTATCCTAGAGGGTCCATATACACTACCATTATGGAATTAGGCCCCCAAAGCCATAGTAGGAACGGTCTTTTGGGATCTAATTCCATGGACCCTCTAACCATGAAATCCTTCTCCAAGTGGCCACGCCCTTCATCGACTCTAACTCCGGCACGGAGATGGCCAGCAGAAACGATCCCTCCCCCTGAGGAGTCCGAGTTTTAGGCCTTCAAGCTTTTAGGGCTTTAGGGCTTTAGGGGTTTAGGGGCTCCTTTAAAGGGATCCTATAAGGGATCCTTTAAAGGGATCCTATAAGGGATCCTGTAGGGCTTAAGGTTTCGGGTTTTCGGGGGTTGTGTGTTGAAGTTCTATAGAGTGAAAAGAGCTTTAGGATGCTTCGTGAGCCTTGGGGCTTGGAGTGAGGCTTTGGGGCTTTCGGAAGCTTTGATGTTTCGCGCGGCTCGGGTGCTAAAGCCTAAACCCCAAACCCCTATAAAGCCCTAAACCCTATAAACCCTAAACCCTATAAACCCTAAACCCCTAAACCCTATAAACCCTAAACCCTATAAACCCCAAACCCTATAAACCCTAAACCCTATAAACCCCAAACCCTATAAACCCTAAACCCCCTAAACCCTAAACGGCTTGCTTCAAAGAGACAGGGGCCTTGGAGCTCAGGGTGCGCCGGATTTTTAGTGCGGCAAGGCCGTACATCACTATGTACCTGTAGCCGAAAGGGCCTACCTTTTTAGGGTTCCTTGTTATGGTTTCTATATATAGTTCCTTAAAAAGGTAGGTCTTTTCGGCTACAGGTAGGGCTGTGGGGCAGCCTAAACCCCACCCTACGTAAACCCTAAACCCTAAGCCCTAAACCCTAAACCTGAAACCCTAAACCCCAAGCCCGAAACCCTAAACCCCCCAAAAAAACTAAACTCCAAACGCTCAACCCATAAAGTCCCAAATCTCCACATGGTCCAGGTTTAGAGGCTTCGAGCTACATCAGCGGTCTTTAGGGTTTAGGGCTTAAGGTTTACTTGTGAAGAGGTTTATGGCTATTTTGGGTTTTTGGATTCGAGTTTAGAGTTTGGAGCTTTCAGCAACACTTGAACCGATTGTTCCGGCTCCTGTCTTCCTCCTTCAAAGGATGAGCATGCATTAGGATAGGCTTGTGAAGGGCGCGTCCCGGAACGACTGGGGCGCAGCCAAACCTAAACACGAGAAAACACACCGAATAGATACACCCGGAATGCAAGCAGTGCAAATACAAGAACAACTACAAGAGCAAGTTGCGAGGAACGCCAGAATCCGCCAGAACAGCCAAGTCATATACCAGAAACCCTCCACCCGACCCTAAACCCGTAAACCGCGCAGAAACCTTCCGCCCGAGAAAGACGAACTGGTTCACCGACGCATCGCAGATCTTAGCCGCAACTTCGACTCAAGCTCCGATAGAATCGCGTCGAAGTACACCGACATAGGGTTTAGGGTTCAGAGCCTATAGGGTTCAGGGTTCAGGGTTTTACGGTTCAGGGTGTAGGGGTTTAGGGGTTTAGGGTTTAGGGTGTAGGGGTTTAGGGTGTGGGGGTTTAGGGTTCAGCAAAAGAACGATATTCCACGGCAGGGGAAACCAGAGAGAACCCGTGCATCCAAATGGAGGCAGTCTCTGGCTGAAGATGCGAAGTGCCGGTAAGTCGGGATCGTAGACGCGTAAGAACCCAGAGACTCCAATATCCCGTAAATAAGGGATACTTGGATCCAAAAACTGGTTTAAGGAAATTTCTTAATTAGTGGATATTGGAGTCTCTGGGCGTCAGCAAGGGCACTGGGAGACAAAGGCAAGCTTGTGCAGGCCCCGTGCAGGTTTAGAGTGCAGCAGAAGTGATGAGTCTCGGCTGGTAGGAAGACCCTAATAAAAGGTCTTGCTGCATGTCCTGCACGTCATTGATCACAGTCTGCCGTGCGAAAGGCTCTGGTATCCTAGTTCTTGACACTTAGGGTCTGTGTACCCCAATTAGCCCAAACCAGGTTACTCTTTTCAGTTATGCTTAGATTGCCTCGCCCTACTAAGGAAATGAAGGGTGCATAATTAGCCAGAAACGGCCGCCATGGAGACAGCCAGTGTCAAAGACACTCTACCTCGTGAGCTGCGGTCGAAAGCTGCTGCTTTGGGAACAGCCTCAGGCGGCGGGACCATGCCATCTGACCCTAATCAATGAAGTCTGTCTCTACCCCGTATACCGTGGCCAGGATCTTGACGCCGAGGTCCAAGCTTGGCCGACTGCATAAGTCGGCCCTGTAAAGCCTTTGAAACATGTTCGCCTACCTGGTTACCAAACACTAGCAGCTTTAAGACTCAGCTTCCGAAGCCCAAACGCTGAACCGTCCTTCTTCAAACCTCAAGAGACCCCAAGGCAGTCATCCTAACCCCCCCCCAACTTCATGCCCCTCTCCCGAAAACCCTCAACTTTAAGCTCCAAAACGCTAAACCCTAAACCCCAAACCCTAAACCCCAAACCCAAGAATCCGAAAGGCCTCGGTGAGAGAGTGCTCTGCTGCCTGTCGCTCGGGCTCCTTTGGCCTGCCATCACATGGAGGTTTCCGAAAATTAGGGGTACCTTAGGGTTCCTTTAAAGGGTTCCTTTGAGGGTTCCTTAAAGGGATCTATATGGGTTCTATAAAGGGTTTAGGGTTTAGAGTTTCCGAAAATTAGGGGTACCTTATTTTGGGGGCCTTCATAATAAGGATCCTACTGCTTAGGGTACTATATTAGGGTCCCCTATTTTCGGAAACTCCCACATCGGGGTTCAGGCGCAGGTTGTCGTTGAAAACTTCGGGCATCAGGCGGTTACGGTGTAGGGCGTCTCGGGCCATAAGTATCCCACAAGAGTAGAAGGGCCCCCCGCCAACCACCACCAACCCACCCTCACCTGCCCTTGAAGGCACCCCCACCACCAGCGGAGCTGCAGCAAAGCAGACTGCTTCGAGACACAATGATGCAAGCTAAGACAACTCGAACAACGAACCCGTGAAGAACGGAGCCCTGGTGACGTCGGGGGGGGGGGGGGGGGGTACGTCCACAAGCTTCCCTGGCTCCTTTTGCCCTTTTGTTTTTCTCATGCCCGCCTTTGGGGGGAGGGTGGTGGCGACCCCGGGCAAGCTGAAGGTTATTTTACTGAGGGTCCAGCAATAAATAGATAACTTAATCTTACTACCCCAAGAAGCCACAGAAATGAAAGGCTAAACTTTCCGATTCCTACGAAACTGCAAGAAACCAAAAGTTTAAAGGTTGGGTATTGGGGATCAAAGTAATACAGGAATTTGGGAGCGGGAAGCTTCCAGCAGCAAGCCTGGACGGCTCACTCGGAGACGCTGTAGCTGCTGTCACCTGCCCAGGCAGAAGCCCCCCCGCTTTTAAATTTAGAGTTCCTTTGAGGCTGCTATGGAGCTTCTAAAGGGAACTCCAGAAAGTTGGAATATGGTTTCAGGGTAGGATACCTGATTATAATTTACCATAAAGGGTTTAGGATAATAATATTCCAACTTTCTGGCTTTTACTTTATACGGGTTTGAGGATGCAGAGTTTGAGATAAGGGATTTGGGGTTTCATGCTTACGGTTTGACATCTGACATGTGGGTAGTTGTCAAAGTTAAGGTCCCTTTTGGGGTACCCTAAATAGTAGGTGCCGTATTATACTAGGGACCCAAAATGGGACCATAATTTTGACAACCACCCATGTGGGTTTGAGCTTGTTTAAGGTTTGGCATTCTGGGCTTAACATAAGGGTTTGGAAGTGGGTTTTGGGAAGTTCTGCTTCGGCTCGCCATTGAACTCTTAGATGCGGAACACGAAACTCTAAACCCTAAACGATTCTCCTCCACGGATGCATGTCAGAGCTGGGTCTTCGGCGACGGGCCGATGTGATAGACGCAGCTGAAGCTTCACGAACTCCGTGGGGTCTACATTGCCGCCCTGCCGGATGAGCACCGGCCGCAGGCAACGGCCTCCTCCGCCGACACACTGGTTCCCCTCCACGCCGGGGCAAGGTCGGCCGCACCAACCGGACCTACGCACCGAACTTCGCCGGGAAGGCGTTCAGGAACCCGGCCGCTGCGGAATGGTCTTCAAACATGTAGAACTGCAGGCGGTCGCGCTGCGACGACGTCGCGAGGCCGTCGGGATGGGTGAGCCTCCTGACCCGAAGCCCTGAAGCCTGAACCTCATACCAACTCGTGGGTCCGGAAGCTTAAAGTACGTTTGAAGGGTTAACTCTGCTATTGTTATGGGCTCGTCGGGTTCGGCGCTACGGGCCACTCCTACACCCTGCACCCCACAACACAAAAGTACCAAAGCTCCAGGAACAGGGTGTTTAGCGAAGTGACAAAATATCAGGGTTCTACAAACGGAGTTATATAGGTCTTTCAGGGTTTTTAGGGTTTACTGTAGGTGGGGATTCAATTCAGGCTTGGGGTGTAGAAGGTATCGGTACCAGGCCGTCTAGGGCTGAGGCCTCAAAGGGTTCAGGGGTTACAGGATCCTCTTTCAAAAAAGCGCCCTTCTATTCGGAGGGTCGGGGGACTTAGTAAGTAGGTAGTAAGTAGACTTATAAGTACCCTACAAGGGATTATAAGTCCCCAAAATAACCAGTTACTAAGTCCCCCGACCCTCCAAGTATTCTGACCTCAAAACCCCCCGATATGCAGGCTCAGGTCTCATAGGGTTTAGAGCTTTAGGGTTTAGGGTTTAGGATTTTTGGGAAAAGGGTTTGGGCTTAGGGAAGTAGGCGCAGCTATGCATGTGAGCTTGCATCTTGGATTTCCCTCACCACTCGCTCTTCCAAGTACAGCCTGCACTGAACACCCTTAAGCCTGAAATCCGAAACCCCCCACGCCCGTAAGCCTTCGGACACTACACACAAGCTAAAACTCCTAAAACGCTGAGACACCCCAAACCCTGCTCCCTTTGCCTTAAATCCTAAACTCCTGAGCCTAAGCACTAAACTCTAAACCACCCTTGTAAAGCTTGCTTCCCCAATAAACTACAAAAGAACACAGGTTAAACTTTCCGGTTACTACTAAACTATAAAAACCAAAAGTGTCAAAAGTTTGGTATAGGGAAAACTAAGAAAGGAACTACTGATCCCTAGTTCTCTGCAGTGCTCCCTTAAGGTTCCCTAAATCCTTTGTACCCCTTGAATCACCCTGCCTTAAGCCAAAATTGTAAAGGAACTGTAGACTCTAGGAACTGTACCTTAACCTACCAAAACCCGCTTTTTCGTAGGGTACCTAAATTCCGTATTAGGGTAAAGACTAAGAACCTACAAAATACTAGGGTTTGGTAGATTAAGGTAGACTCTGAACTTGAAGCCCTCGAGTCGTAGATTTGTGGCTGCAGGGTTCGAAACCCACCTTAAGAACGCCCAAAGCCGCCGGGCGGTTCGGGTTTAGGCTTGAGGATTCTAGGAGGGTTTAGGGTTTGGGGGTTTCGGGAGGATGTCGGGTTCTTGGTTCTTGGATGGACTTTTCGGGGGGGTCTCCGTGTGCCCAACTAGTATACACCTTGGCCTTCAAGCAGTCACTATACCGGTACTTCGGGCCAAAGTTTGTGGGAGTTCCCGAAAATAGGGGACCCGAATGTAGTATCCGAAATAATAGGATCCTGATTGTAAGGACCCCAAATTAACGTACCCCCTAGTTTTCGGAAACTCCCGTATACTATTTGGATACATGGACCCCGTAGGGTTCCAAAGGTAGTAAAAGTAACAAAGCTCTGGCTCCACCTTGTTCTCGATCAAGGATCGCAGGTCATCCATCCTCGGCCAAAGAGCAGACTTACAGTTCTCTAAAAGTGGAAGTAGTATAGGGTTTGATGTTTAAGGTTTAGGTTTAACAGTTTAGAGTTTAGGGCTTAGGGTTGGGGTGAAGGGTTTAGGATTTAGGGTTTAGGGGTTTGAGGCTTAGGGTTTAGAGTTTAGACTTTAGGATAAGGTTCAGGGTTCGGGGTTTGGGGTTGTTCAGGGTTTGCGGCTCACGTGTTCAGGCTCAGGGTTCGGGGGAGTACCTTTCGTCTCCACTGCAGCTCCTCTTTTGGTTTGACCAGTTTTATAGCTAGGATCCTAATTAAAAGCTAAACCAAAACGGAAGTACAAAGAAAACTATTATAGGACCGCTGACTGGCTGGTGGGCTTTCCCTTCTAGCAGCTACTGCCGTTGATTGTCATACAGTGCTGCTGATGGCTCTGATTGTTGTCAGGTGCCTCAGAACTCGATACCCTTCCGATCGCGGGTTCTTGTCCTAACCCCAAAACAACCCATGACAACCCCTAAACCATTAAACACCCTAAACCGTACACAACCCTAACACCCTAGCCCCATACCCTAATCCCAAAACCCTCATTGCCCTAAACCCTGAGAGCTGCCCCTTCATTCGGAGCGCAAGCTGAAGCTGTGCATTTGCGATGTGCTTTGCGAGGGAATCTCCTCCTTGGACACCTCCTGCAACCTGTCGATGATGCGTTCAACTCGACCTTGCTTGTTCGACCCCTAAACCCTAAACCGTGGCCTTGCGCCATCGCTTCAAGATTGAGGCACATGCCCAGCTCATCAAACTCAGGAGCGATAGTTCCTTGGCTCCAGTCTTCCCAGAGACTCCAATATCCCTTAATTAAGGAATATATGCCTTAAATCATATTAGGGATCCTACTATAATTTAAGGTATATTCGTTAATTAAGGGATATTGGAGTCTCTGGGTTAGCATGTTGCCATCCCAATGCATCGAGAAAGTCACTGACAGCTGCATCCGCATTCTCCGCGCTGGCTGAAGGACTCAGCAGTGGGAAGTCTTCTCAGAGCAGGCGATGACTCAAGTACCAAAGCGCCCCCGATACTCGGGTAAACGAGTAATTCCACTGCAGCCGTGCTTCCAAGCATAAGAGAATTTGGCAAGTACAAGGCGTCTCGCCCGTCAGCTTCCCTTACTGCCATAACCTATACCCCCGTTAGAACCATATTAAAAATAATATGTTTAATATTCTCTTGGGTTTTGTATGAACACAAACAAAACACGAATCCTAAGGCGACTATAGTAACCGAAAGCTGCCTATATTTTCTAGATAAATTGCCAATTGCTTATATGCCTTGCTCAAGTCTAGGCTGCGCCTCTCCCCGCAGATCCTGCGACTCTGGGACGCCCTGCTTGGAGCGGAAGGGGACTCAGTAAGTAGGTTATAAGTTGGGTCATAATTGGGGTAACTCCCGTTAGGGTACTTATAACTCTACTTATAACCTACTTACTAATTCCCCTGCCCCTCCAAGTACGAGAGGAGCGCTTGAAAATCTTGACAAACATGGACGGCGCGAGTCCGGACTTCTATGACGACCCGGACACAATGCTGCTGGGTAGGGTCCTTAACAATCAGAGTAGTTAGGGTTTTGGTGGCCATTAGTATACTATAATCACAATGAGCCCCCCAAATAGTACATATTGGTTTTTATTTAGGCCTCTGTAGTATTATGTGTTGTCGACTGTCGTTCCCTTCCTGCGTGCTCGGGAGCCGCCTCTAGGAAGGAGCCTGTTAACTCCAAAACTCCAAACCCTCAAACCAAGCTAAAACCATTCCAGAGCCCTAAACCGATCACTCTAAAGCCAACATTGAGAATCCAAAAACCCAAGGCCCTAGACGCCAGACTAAACCCCACACCCCAAGACCTAAACGAGACTCGAAGTGCTCCCAAGCTTCATGGACTTTTCGTCCGGCGACATGTCTGCTATCCTGCTGCGGCTGCAAGGGTTCTGGAGCGGCTGGTGGTTTTAACTTAAAACCAGCTCTGAACTCAACCCTAAACCCTGCAAACCCGAAGAATAGTTTGGGGTTCGGGACTCGCGGCTCGCATTTGTGGGAGCAGCCCTTATTTAAAAAAAAACTGAAGCCTAAACCCAAACCGAAAGATACGATGACCTGCTGGAGTCATCGAACAGCAGTTGCGATGCTTTTACAAAAAGCTTTTGTCTGTCGTCCAAGCTTACAGCAGAATTACACAGGGATGGGGGTTGAGGCGGGGAACGTAGAACACCACACATGCTCAATGTATGTATGCTGCACTGACAACATGGTCGTCGTCGCATACTGAATTCTTAGCGTCCACGAGTCCGGCAAGCCCGCCCCGAGATGGGTCGCCGAGCGATTTCCTGCGAAGATTGCTTTCTAGCTGAGCGTTGCGCGCGCTGGGTCCTGCAGAGATTGCATTTCATTATAGTCTATCATCGTCCGTTATAGTCTGCTATGATTCAGAAAACTGCTGTAGTCGATTTTTCATAGTATGCGAGGGCTCAGCGTTGCCATGACTGGTGAGTGCCACCTGTTGTCCAGCGAGTCCTGGCCCACATGATCCACGTAATGACCCGGAGCTTCCCAGAGACTCCAATATCCCTTTATTAAGGAATATTCCTTAAATTATAGTAGGATCCCTAATATGATTTAAGGAATACTCCTTAAAATATCAGTATAGGATCCCTGATATGATTTGAGGAATATTCCTTAACTAAGGGATATGGGAGTCCCTAGGTTCTCTGAATACTCATCTCGCAAACGTCGTCTTTGCTCGTCCAGCGAGAGGTAGATGATACAGGGGCCTTTGTAATTAAGTATATATTCTAAATTTAAATATGGTATCATGGGCCCCCTAAGCCCCATTCTAATTATTCAGGCCCCTATATTCAGCTCTTTGTTCTTGGCCAGGGCCTTGCGGCCTTGCTGTTCTTATCCAGGAATGCCTTCCCGAAGGAGTCGTTGTTGCAGAAGCAGTCACCCTTGAAAAAGAAGAACATGCTGAGGCGGCATAGGCTTCTCCGGAAAGCCCTTGTTGCAATGATTGTCATTCGTACAGTTGTCAAGATCTTGATGGTTGACACACCCATAACTGTTTTCAAATCTTTCATGAATCCTATAACCAAACAACCTGCGGCCAGAGTTCAGTCTTGGGGCGTATGCTACTTAGGGTTGCGGTGCTTGAGAGCTGCCGCTGTGAATCAGACTAGGCTTCTCTATGAAACCATGAGCGGAACTATGAGTTGTCCGGCAGTAGTTGGCCCGCTAATCAAAGAGCAACAAAGGTTGCAACCGAATGGTTTCGATGGAGAGCATGTTTGGTGATAGATTCCTGCCCTGGCGTAGGATTGCACTAGGGATCCTACCACTTCAGTTTTGAACAGAGCATCATTTTGAAGGGGCACTCAGTCTCCTAGTTTGGTGAACTTCCCTCACAACCATACAGGGCTATGCAAGGGTTTAGTGGAACATTCCTGGAGTACGTGTCTTGCCTGGGGTTGATCGAATGAGGTTACACAGTCTGTCCTGATGGTATAACTCCATTTTGGGTTGCAGGTTTCAGGCTTGAAGGTTTGGTGGTGTCAGGTTTATGGCTTGAGGGTTTAGGGCCTAGGGTTACGGGTTTTAGTTCAGCGGAGCGATATATAGGTAGGGGTTAAGGTTAAGGATCAACAGGGGATTGCGCACCTCTCCATCAGCTCCCCTTCACTGAGCTTCGCCAGCTGCTCAATGTCCTGCTCAACCACTATACGTGGAGCATGGACTTTTTCCGGCGCTTATGCTTCGGGTTGAGTTGACGTGTCGGGATTTAGTAGAGGTTTCAGTTTAGGGCTCAGCGTGTAGGAATTAGAATTCATGGTTCTTGCTCAGAGTACAGTTTGACGCGTTGGGGTGTGGAGCTTGAGGCTTAAACTGTGAGACCCTCCCTGCCCTATGACACAGCAAGACTTCGTAAACACTCACCATGAGCTCCTCAAAACCACATAAGCCCGACGTTTCGTCGGAATGCTCTTTAGCAGGGAGACACGGAGAGAAGGAATCTGTACTCGACAGAATTCCGGGGTAAGACCATGGAAAAAAAACATGAGGCTCTTATGCGCACTGTAATCAAGATGTGGTTACTGTTGTCGGGCCAGGTTGGTCCCGCGGCTCCTGCTGTTGGGCAGATCAATGCAGATCACGCTTTGCACCAAACCGTGCGCGTAACAGCAGGACTCCCGAGCAAATGCTCTCGCACCCCGTACATCACGCTCTCACCACCGTGCCACGAGCCTGTGGATAATAAACCGGCGATCTCAAACCCTACTTAGAGGTTCATGGATAGTTACAAGCGGGCTTATAAGTAGGGTAACTATAGGTATAATCCATATTCAGGGACATATAACTCCACTTATAACTACCCATGAACCTCCAAGTACACCCAAGACCCTAAACCCTAAACCCTAAAACCCTAAACCCCCCAAAACCCTAAACCCTGAACTTCCTATCGCTTGGAAGACTCCGAAGTCTTGGATAGCCTTTCAAATCTGGCAATTCCATATTCCCGAAAGGCAGGATACGACAACCCTAATGTAGGGCATTAATGATTAGACTAGGGGGTTCCTTTTAACGGGTCTATAAGGGATCTATAGTAGGGTTCTATAACATAGGAGCCTTAATAATTAGAATAGGGTTTTGGGGGGCCATTATATTATACTTCTAATAACGACGGCCCCCCCCCTCAAAAAAAAGGTATTGGCAATGATTTAGGCCCCTATGTTATATCATCTGCGCGTTAGATGCCCATCTCAACCCTACACCCTCAAACGCATTGACATACCAACAGAAACCATATCATCGTATCATCAAAGACTTGACTTGCTTATGCATGGTTGAGGGTAAGAGGTCCTTAAAAGTGAATGCTTGATGCAGGGGTTACTAGATGGGCAACAGCAGAGTTTCTGTTATGGTAACCCACATAACCCTAAATCTTAAACCGTGAATCATGAGAGAAACCCTCGCACTAAGATCCTAAGCCCTAACACCTTAAACTCAAAAGCATACCATAAACCCCAACACCCCAAACCCCTTTTAAAGCCTAAGCCCCAAGCTGTAAACCCTAAACCCTAACCCTACACCCTTATCTTTACGCCCTCACCATACGCCCTATCAGTCCTCGAGTTTGCTTGCATTCGGCGCTGTGGGCGCCTGCTGCCAATCGCAGCCCAAAACCCGGGAATGCCGGAGGACTCAATAAGCTTTCAAGATGTTTTAAAGGGCTTTGGGATTCAAGATCAAGGTCTGAGCCAGTGGCAATACTCTTTCACAATGCTTCTTAGCATAATTCGGATGTTTAGTGATTGGAGTTTAAGCTTATGTATAAGGTTTAGAGTTCAGGGACGCAAGAACGCCCTCTACCACATGGATGAACCGTAATCAACCCTCTCAGCTGCTGTTTCTTAGAGATTATAGGAGAGCCTGAGAACTATTTCTAAGTTCATAGACTCCTCAAAGAAAGAAACTTGCATTACCCAGACCCCCGGGAGGATCCAAAAAGTAGATCCCTTAATGGGGGTTCCTATAAAGTGCCCTTAGTAGTATAAGACCCCAACCCTAAACCCTGAACCCTAAACCCTGAACCCTGCACCCTAAACCCTGAACCCTAAACCCTAAACCCTAAACCCTGAACCCTAAACCCTAAACCGTAGATCCTCCGGGGGGTCTGGATATTGCTACAGGACGCTACTTGGAGGGGCAGGGGACTTAGTAAGTGGGGTTAGAAGTAAGGTTATAATTGGGGTAACTCCACTTAGGGTACTTATGACTCTACTTATAACCTACTTACTAAGTCCCCTGCCCCTCCAATTAAAGATTGGACCCGGTGGAGAAGCGTGCATGCGAGGGGTCTCGGGCTCTCTTAGTAATTGGGGTTGTAAGGCCTCTTTAAGGGATCTATAAGGGGTACTATGCGGGTTTAGGAGGGTTCATAAAGGATGATGGGACTTAGTACTTGGGGTTATAAGTTACTAAGGCAACTACAGCCAGCAATTACTTACAGCCCCGATTGAGGCGCTTACAGCCCTATTCACGACCAGTAAGTGGGGCTCTAAGTAAAGTAACTGCAGTTTGAATTGCTTGTAGCCCCAATTAAGGTACTTATAGTCTTATTTACTAAGTCCTCCAAGTGGGCAGGGCCCATTATCCAGTCTTATGCGTTCTCACCCAACAGGCCCAGCAGGGAGCTCGAACGCCTCCTGCCGCCATCGAGGATGACAAGAACCAAGAGACTAGGAAGAAACCTTAAATCTGACTAGTTCAAAGAATACTCCTTATTTAAAGGATATTGGAGTCTCTGGGAATGTCGCCACGAGGCAACATGCCTTGCTCGGCGGGGTGCTTCCGCAAGCCCTGCACGGCTTTCCACACTTTGCCGATCGTCGACTCCCCGTAGTGCGAGAGCGGATGTGGGGTGCTGTCACCCAGACCCCGGGAGGATCCAAAAAGGTAGATCCCTTAATGGGGGTTCCTATGAAGTGCCCTTAGTAGTATAGGGCCCCAAAAGGGGATCTACTTTCTAGATCCTCCCGGGGCTCTGGGTATGCTTTCTCCATAGACGTGACAGTCAAAGTAGATGACTACGCTGCCTTTGTTATCGCCTCTGACTGTGCACAGAGACGCAAAAATCCCTTGATTAAGGATCCCTAATATGATTCATTGAATATGTGCTTTAATTCCCTTACGGAACCCTTATAGATCCCTTTAGGGAACCCTTTCCGGAGCCCTTAGGGAATATTAATTAAGGGATTTTGGGAGTCTCTTGGGTGCAGAGAGCGTGCTGTGCGAGGGCTGCTCTAAGCTGGGGCTGACTTATGGGTTTAGGGGTTTAGGGTTTAGGGGTTTAGGGTTTAGGGTTTAGGGGTTTAGGGTTTAGGGTTTAGGGTTTAGGGTATTATACGGTTGATGATATAAATCCTGCAGTACCCGTAATAAGGAATATACCATACTTCCTATAGCTCAGGGTCCTTAAGGTCATGCAGGATTCATATCATCAACCGTAGCTCGAAGCTCAACTGCGCGGTAATCCTCAAACAAACCCTTTTCCCCGAACCCTAAAACCCTAAGCCCCCAAACCCCAAATACACCATATATAAGCCCTATAAAAAACCTAAAGGAACCCTAAAACCAAAAAAACCGAGAAGCCCGTGCTTGGTCCTTCATTGAGCTCCGGATGGGGATGTTTGATCAGCTGATGGCCAGCATAGGATGGGTGGAAACTTAAATCTAGGGTTTAAGGTTTACGGTGCAGGGTTTAAGGTTTAAGGTTTAGGGTTTGGGGCTTAGGGTATATGGTTTAGGGTTTAGGGCCCTACGTAGGGGTGCTTAGTACTCGGGGTCCCGGAGTTTTCGGGCTTAGCATCGCGGCTACATGTCGAAACGGATGTACCGTGTTCGGGCTGTCTATGAACGCACAACCGACTCCGGAATCACCCAGCCCTAGAAGTCCGTAATGTAGGCCTTAATAATTACATCTACTATATTTTGGGGGGGTCCTCCTTACAGTTATAGCATAATGTACCGCCAAAGCATATTCTAACTATAAAGGCCCCTATATTGAGCCCGAAACCAAAGCACCTTGATTCAGCGAGGTGCCTCGCATCATAGTTTGGATCCACGTATAACTCAAGGAAACCCTAAACCCTAAACCCTAACCCCAACTTAAGGAATACGCGGTATGAGATGAGTGATTCCTCGCAGGGGATCTTGAGTCCACCGGATCAGAGCCAATTAATTTAGGGTTTAGGGTTCATACTACCCTTATAGAGCTCTTATAGTAACCCTATTTTGTAGACCCCTTTCAAAGGGAACCATATAGGTGGTGGTTGTGAAAATTATGGTCCCTTTTTGGGTCCTTATTATAATACGGCACCTAATGTTCAGGGTATCCAAAAAGGGGCCATAATTTTGACAACCACCCATATAGAACCCTCATGGCCTGCTCGGATCCTTTCGGATACAGGGCTTTCTTTGCCTCGGCTGGCAGAGGAAACTCACCTATCTTGTGAATATCGTACCTGAACCTACAAAACCCTACTTTTTGTGGGCTCGTATTAGAAACCCTGATATGGAATGTATAGGGGCCCTACAAAAAAGTAGGGTTTGGTAAGTTAAGGTAAGTTTTAATCCTTAGAGTTCTAATTTAGAGCTTCAGGTTTCTGTTTCAGCTTGAAGGGCTTCGGGCTCAGGGTTTAGGATCTAGGTGAAAGTCCTCCACCCCAACAAAGGACTTTCAAGCCCATCCAGCCGAATGCCAGAGTCATAATCCCTGCAAATCTGGACTTTGCATTGCATTCTTCATCCAGGTTGACAGTTGTCGTTCTTGCCATGCGAGCGTAGTTGTCGCACTGCTTTCATCATCATGAGTCTAATTATTAGGAGAAGAGGCATTCATAGCAAGGCTAAAGACTGCTGCTAAAGATTTGGGACGGGGTCCTGATAATAAGGATCCTACTATTTAGGGTCCCCTATTTTCGGAAACCCCGATTTCTTAATTCGCGCTGAATCCGTCGTCGAACCTCCGGACAAGGCGGGAAAAGTGTGATTCGACTCGACCCATGTGGGTGTGGCTTGGCTGAAAACGTTGACCCTGGGGTCCTCGGTTCCCAGAGACTCCAACATCCCTTAATTCAAGAGTATATATTCCTCAGATCATCCTAGGGATCCTACTCTAGTTTCAGGTAAACTCCGTAAGTATCGGATATTGGAGTCTCTGGGTTTGAGGACTTTGCGTGATGGAATCATTCAAGCGGCGTCGAACTCCGGCTTTTCGGAAGGAGGCTTGGAATTGTGGGAGGTCATGCGTGGAAAGCCTTTCCTTTGTTTAGTAGGGAATGGAGGGATGGGGTACAATTATTATAACTACTATTACTACCATTCTTCCATTCCCTACAACCAAAGGTAAGAGGCTGGCCAACTAAACCCATAGATAGCGAACCCTAAACCCCTGCGGCTTGTGCTTTACTGAAGCAAAGCAGCGTTCTCGAGGAAGCCCTTCTGCAGAACCTTCGGCGGGACGCATTGTGCTCCGTCCAGGGCTCAGCGTTTCAGAGCCTACGGGTGAAATTCAGCTGAAGGATCCCCATGGAGCCCAAAGCGCGTAATTTAGGAATAGACCCTGCCCGCAAACACTGAGAGTTCTACATTCCCAGGCACCACTCCAAGAGCGCTCCTCTAACTCCCAAGACCACACATTGAGTCCAAAATGCGCACCACAATGCGGCAGGAGCACGATCGACCCCCCAGGAGCATTGTGTTTGAAGGCGCAAAGATCAGGAGCAGCTAAAATCCGCACAAGTTCCAAAGTCAGTGACTTCGAGCGATTCAAAATCCACGGTGGCACGATTTTCATACGACAGCACCCCCGAAAAGGCAGGAGTGCGCTGCATCAAGTTGGGCAGCGCGAAAGCATTGGATTGTCTGACGAACTTGGAGTGGGACTGTGAAAAGAATTCGGAATCTTTCGAAAATGCACACCACACCACAGCGGGGCAGGGACGCACCCTGGAACCCCGTACCGCAGGGCCTTAATACTTAAAATAGGATTTGGGTGGTTAAAATTTGGGTCTAATATCCCCCCAAACCCTATTCTAATAATCAAGGCCCCTACATTACTGCTACCGAGATGTTTGTGGACTCTTTTCTTTCGAGACACGCCCTTTTCTCAAGGTTTTTTGGATTTTGGGGGGCGCGGCTTTGAGCATGCTTGAGGTTGTTGTGTCTTCTCACCCAACCTTGCCACCTGAGAAAAACCAACCCGTTCATGACAACTACGAGAGCAAGAAACTGCTGAGAAATGCAACAGACACTGGAATCTTGGCAATGAAGCAGACTACTCAATTCTCGTTGGTTTCACATGTTCCGGAGTTCAATCTGTCACGTCCTCGTCTACTTATGGCAAACCTTATCATGGTGTCACCACTTTCCAGACGTCCGCTGTGATCTGGCGGTGGTGTAGCCAAGCCCATTGATCAGTAGCAGCTAACGACTACGACTACTACTTCCCGCTGCTCCTCCTGGTACCCCTGCTCCCTCTACTCCTGCTGCTACAGCAACTACTGCCGCCACTACTGCTTCTGCGAGTGGAATGAACCCCGGAAAGAAGTTCAGTGTCGTTCCCTACCTTGGGGTTACATTATCTCTGCCGCGGAGTCGGAGGGGATCCGAATTTAGGAACTAACACAGGCGGGCCTGTGCCACATCCGCATCTGTGCCACTTTTCTGCGGCTTGGCGTCGAACTTCTGCGGCACACCTGAGCCAAAACCCGAAACCCTTAAATCTCTCCAATCCCTAAATCATCATACTCCCTAAGTAAACCCTAAACCCTAAACCCTAAAGCACCAGTGGAAACTCTGAATTCTAAATCCGACTCTAAGGCTCGTGGGACCAGCAGCGAAAGTTTCTACTTTGTGCCTATAAGGATTCAGGGTTTTAGGGGTTTAGGGTTTAGGGTTTTAGGGTTTAGGGCTTTGGGGGTTTAGGGGGTTTAGGGGTTTAGGGTTTTAGGGGGTTTAGGGTTTTAGGGGTTTAGGGGGTTTAGGGGGTTTAGGGTTTTAGGGTTTAGGGCTTAGGGTACACTTCGATACTTGTAAACCCCGACTGACGAAGTCCCAGCACCCTCCCAGGAACCCCAAACTGGTTGATGCCATGCACTACTTAAAGGGTCCTGCCACTTAGTAATTGGGGTCCTTAAGGGGTCCCTTTAAGGAGTCTCTAGGGGTACTATAATAAGGGTTTAGGGTTTAGGGTCTACTTAAAGGATCATGCGACTTAGTAAGTGGGGTTATAAGTGAGGTTACTACAGTTCTAATCACTTATAACCCCAATTAGGGTACTTATACCCCTACTTACTACGTCCCACGATCCTCCAAGTAGACCCTAAACCCTACACCCTCATAGTACCCCTATAGATCCCTTTAAAGGGACCCCTCCTATAACCCTACTTACTAAGTCCCATGATCCTCCCAGCAGACCCTGAATCTAAACACCGAGCTTCAAGTCCCAAAATAGAGGTCCTAACGGGAAGTGGCAGCAAGCCCTAAACGCGCAGACCGACAAAATTATAGTAGAAGCAAAGTTGGACCATGGATTTAGGAGGATAAGTGCTAGGATCCCTTGAACTTCACCTTAAGGGCATGAGGATAATGATGTTCCAACTTTCTGGCTTCTACTATAATCCCAATCGCTACCACAACCCCCTATATAGTATATAGGCCTTCAAAAAAACCTGGCTGATTGAAGTAGTAAGTAGTACAAGCTACAACCACAAAGCCCCAAGCCGCAAACGCTAAACTCTAAATCCCAACACGCTACACCCTGGCCTTTCTGATCAAAGCAGTGCTCGCTGATAAGAGTACAACTTTAAGCCTCCACATTACCTGAACGTGATAGGAAACCCAAGCAGAGAAGCTCAAGAAGCCAACCAGATAACTCTAAACCCTGAACCCAAAAAACCCAAACCCCTAAACCTAAAACCCAAAACCCAAAGCCCAAAACCCCTGAACCCCTAGACCTCCAAACCCAAAACCAAAAAACTAAAACAAAAAAACAAGGCGCCCTTCTGATCGAAGTAGTAGTCTCTCTTTTCAAGCTCTTGCTTCTCGGGCTCCTCGACAATGCTGTCGAACCTGAGGGCGGTTCTCTATGTTGAGGTCTCTTTATAGGAGCCCAGAATGCGGCGGCACTCTTACCAACGAAAAGGACCGGAAAAGGGACCCCAATTTAGGGAACTATCCCCGAATCATGCAGGGGTACTTATCTAGGGCCCCGAAAAAACACATAAGCAAAAATCAGGAGAGGTATATCTCATATAAACCCCCTTATAATGAAGCCCAATAAGGTCGGGAGATCCCCATGGAATGCTTATGCTTATGTGCTTTCTTTGGTCCCTAATTGTCTTCAGAATACCTCATGTTGCGGGTTCTACTATTCAGAGGCTATACTGAGCCCCGAATCGTAAACCCTAAACAACCACTAAACCCTTAAACCTGAACTACCACTATAAACCCTGAACCCTACACCCTAGCCCCAAAACCCAAAACTACTCTAGCAAGGTTCCCCAGTAGCCCCTTAATAACAAGGGTGCCCTTTTTCCTAGTATTTGGTGTTAATAAGGGAACACAGAAAGAAAACGGCAAAACACACACACACACACACACAAACACACACGCACACACGCACACGCACGCACGCACGCACGCACGCACGCACGCACGCACGCACGCACGCACGCACGCACGCACGCACGCACGCACGCACGCACGCACGCACGCACGCACGCACGCACGCACGCACGCGCACGCACGCACGCACGCACGCACGCACGCACGCACGCACGCACGCACGCACGCACGCACGCACGCACGCACGCACGCACGCACGCGCACGCACGCACGCACGCACGCACGCACGCACGCACGCACGCACGCACGCACGCACGCACGCACGCACGCACGCCACACACACACACACACACACACACACACACACACACACACACACACACACACACACACACACACACACACACACACACACACACACACACGCTACTGATGCCTCTCCACTTGTGGTGGAAATTCCCATGCATGACCAAGCAACTTTGACTTCGTTGGTCTGAGGTTGAGCTTGAGTTCCCAGAGACTCCAACATCATCTAATTAAGGAATATTCCTCAAATCATAAGTAGGGATCCTACTATAGTTTAAAGAATAATCCTGAATTCAGGGATATTGGAGTCTCAGGGTTTCGTTAGCAACCAAGATCTTCCAATCTACCTGCACTTAAGGAGTACCCGTTCAATCTTCTCAGGGAGCCCACTGTAACTTAAGGTATCTTCCTTAACTAAGGGATCTTGCAAGATTTGGGAGTGTGGACTTCTATAAGAATTCGTTTTTTACAGGGTTTAGAGGCTTAGAGGTGTCTATAAGGGTTCAAAAACAGCTCTAGCAGGGGTGAAGCATTCCCGAAACCCCAAACCCTAAACACTAAACCCCGTGTGCTTTGGCGTCGGTCTTTCTGCTGTTGGTTTGGCGTGGTGTCTTCGCGATTAAGGCTGGGTGGCCTCTTCGAGTTGACCATGACCACTGCCATGTCAGCAAAGCCTCTTCTGGTGCCATTTCCAGTGCTTCAGCTTCGCATCAAACCGAATGAGGAAGGATTTGTTGATCCATTCTTTGCGCTCGCGACCGCCCGTGTGCTGATCCTTCTCTCGAAGCATGTGGAAGTTCTTGTGCAACTCGTTCGAAGCCTACGAGCTTTCAATACTGAGCATGTTAGGGTTTAGGGTTCAGGGTTTAGGGCTCATGTAATCGTATTCTTTGCGGTTTCAGGACACAGCACCTAATCAAAAAGCTTTGCAGAGACATCCTGCGGTGTCGATGCTCGAGCTGTTGACAGCAACAATGATTTACCTCCCGGCCCATTGCAGCTAGGTCCTAAACCCTAAGCCCCAAACCCCCAAAGGCCTGGGCCGTAAAACCCAAAACCCCAAAACCTCAGGCCCTAAAGCCGAAACCCTACAACTACCTAAATCCTAGGCCCTCCTAAAACGCACAAGGGCTTGGCGGGCTGTCTCTAAAGGGGCTCTAAGATTGGACAACCTAAGCCAAGCCTTTTCAGGACAGCCTCTCGCCAAACCTTCCAGACAAGAACCCTGGCCCCGTATCGAAACGGCGAGAAAAATCTTCCTATGACTTTCGCAAGAAACCTGATCTATCCTACCCAAAACCCTTAAGACCCGCAACCGCCAAAAGACTAAAGCCCTAAACCTTTGTAGAAGCCCTACACAAGAAACCCCCAAAGCCGAACCCCCTTCCAGAACCACTACACCTAAACCCTAAACCCTAAACCCTAAACCCTAAACCGTGGCTTCACTACAGACCTCAGCGGAACCCTTAAAGGAACCCTACCTTCGAAACAACCTTCAAGCAACCTTTAAAGGAGCAAGTAATGCTTAAAAGTACCCAGAGACTCCAATATCCCTTAATTAAGGAATATACCTTAAATTATAGTAGGATCCCTAAGAGGATTTAAGGAATATTCCTTAGTTAAGGGATATTGGGGTCTCTGGGTACCCTGGGAGCCTTGAGTAGTCGTTGTTGTACTTCGCTGTTGACATTGGCTCCGTGCCATCGGGAAGGTCTGCTTCCCAACCTGCGACGATGCACAGTTCAAAAGCCCACAAAAACGAACACATCACATTGGGGCCTTAGTAAATAGTTATACAGGGATCCTGTTAAAGCGCCTCTGAGGGTTACTATAAGGGTTACCACCAGGGCTACTATAAAAATAAACCGAATACATCATATTCCCTGAACATAAATCCTAAGGGTTCCGTCTACAGGCGAGCAGAGGGATACTGTAAGGCGGCTTAGAGTTTTGGATGTTTACGGTTTTGGGGTTTGGGCTTAGTCCTAGGGGCCGGGATAGTTCGAACGGGGTTCTTGGGCATTGGAGCGATAACGAATACCATTCCGACTCATAACGACTACCCAGAGGCTCCAATATCCCTTAATTAGGGAATATTCCTTAAATCAGATTAGGGATCCTACTACAATTTAAGGTATATTCCTTAATTAAGGGATATCGGAGTCTCTGGGAATAAGCCCCCTGTGAGACGTGAGAGCTTAGGATGTTTGGGGCGTTATAGGTAGCCCTAAGCCCAAGACCCCCTAAACCCTAAACCCGTTCGAGTAGATGTAAGGGTATAGGGTATAGGGGTCTGAGCCCTGTAGGAAGGACCCACACTCTTGAACCCTAATCCCGGAGCCAGTAGATTTTAAGGTTTGCGGTTTCCGAAGGTGCAGTGCTAATCATACCAAAGCCTCTGTCCCTAGCCCCCAAACGGTCCTACTGTATATTCCGCCCCAAACACCTTCGATTTGCAGTGAGTAACTTTCTATGAGATACCCCGAAACCCCTTCTCTAGTTACTAACCTCAATGTACGGTTACAGTATTTGAGGGTTCAGGGGCCTTGGGTTAGGGTTAACGAACAAAGTATGTGCGACTTAGTTTCCTGCTCCCGAAGACCTCACAAGGTGGGATGAAGGTAGGTGGGATTAAGGATCCCTTATATAACGGTGGATGATATAAATCCTGCATGGCCTTAAGGACCCTAAACTATGGGAATAATGGTATATTCCTTATTATGGGTAATGCAGGGTTTATATCATCAACCCCTAAACCCTAAACCCTAAACCCACATCCTAAACTCCTAAACCCCATGACATGGCCGATGGCCAACTGAGTCGAGATCGCAACGTTAGCAGACAGGCAGCGCCGAATAAGCTTCAAAATCCTGGAACTGAAAACGGCTGGGTTTTTTAAAGGTGCAATTACCCCATTCGGTTGGGTTTAGGGTTTAGGGATATCCTAAAAATCCTGAAACCGCCGGGAAAAAACACACAGCCCTTTCTTCTGGGTCTTCTTTTTCTTCATTTGCAGAGCCCTAAAGGGTGAAATTTGGGAACGATCGCTCCCCACTTTTCTAAACTTGGCTGACTTCTGAACCCCTCCTAAAAGTTAAACTTGTATCCTTATTACGGTTCATATAGAAACCCCAAAAGTTAAAGTCTAAAGAGCCAAACAGAAGAACGCCAAGTAAAGTGGTAGAACTTGAAGTTAAACTCCTAAACTCCGAAAAGCCCCCCCCCAACTCAAGAAAAAAATATCCTAAAACCCCTAAAAACCTAAACCCTCAAAACACATCTCTCGAAGCTTCGAGACTCATTCTAAGTTGCTGCTGGGAGTCGGTCTTTCTCAGCTTTCTTCGTCCACTTGTCCAGATCGCCGAGGATCGAGTCGCGGAACTCCTACAGGGGACTTAGCAAGGGCTCTTAAAGGGCTCCTTGAAGGGATCTATATAAAGGGGTTCCTTTAAAGGATCTATAGGGTTCCAGAGAGGGATCTATGGGGTTTAGGGTTTAGGGTCTACTTGGAGGGGCAGGGGCCTTAGTAAGTAGGTTAGTACTGTTATTCTTGGGGTAACTCCATTTAGGGCACTTATAACTCTACCTATAACCTACTTACTAAGTCCCCTGCCCCTCTAAGTAGGGTTTGGAGTTTATGGGGTCCTCGGGTTTGGGCTTGGGTTTAGGATTTAGGGTTTGGGGTTCAGGGTTTTGGGTTCGGACTCCCTCAAATTTTATCCGGCTATGAAGGCTTAAGGGTGTAGGGTTGAGTCTAGGACAGAACAGTGGAACGAAGAAGTAGACTAAAACATGTTCGACGGGGTTTAGGGCTCTATGCTGCACTTGTTATTGTTTTCGGGACTCTTGAAGCCGATGCCATTACAAAATACACACAGACAGCCCTTGGGCGTTGATTCATCATGCGCCCGTTGGCAAAACTGCGGCCACCTCTTCAAAAGGTACGTTGTGGCCTTGCCTTCGCCAGGACCCCCCCCGCGCCGCTGCGCTTCCAAACCATCCGAGAACTTGAATTTGTTGGAACGGCAACGTGCGTAGCTTATGCAGCCTACGCCACCGTAAGTTGGCAGGTGATGGGCCCAAAAGTCCACGTCCCACTTCCGCCCGCCCGGAGTTTCATCGGGTCAGGTGACCAAAAAGTTTCCCGGGGTTTAGGGTTTAGGGCTTAGGATCGAGCTCCGTTCCTTCGGATAATTACGGGTCGGGGGGCATTAAATTATGATTTGAGGTGAATGTAGTCATCATAATGCTTATACACCCTGTAACCCCAATCAGGGCACAATACCCTTACATGCTAAGTCCCATGATCTTCCAAGTAGATATGGTCCATGTCCATATTGGGCTGGTCTAGCGTTTAATGCTTGGCTCGGGGTTCGCATCGAAAGTTCAGTGAGGTTGGAGTTTAGGGTCGAGTGCCTAGGGCTTTGGGTTTAAGTGTAGAGTTGGGGGTTCGGGGTTTACACTTAGGGAGCTTAGGGTTTACAGTTTGTAGCTCCGGGTTAGGGCTTCAGGAGTTTAGGATCCAGGGGTTGGGTTCAGCGTCTGGCGATGAGGGAGGGTTCGGGTTTAGGGTACTGAGACCATGCTCGGGAATGCTCCCGTGCCAGCTACAACCGTAAAACCAAGGCTGTGCCGGCAAGGATACATTAGGGTTTAGGACCAGTTTAAGGTTATGGGCTAAGGGTTTAGGGTTCGCACAATTGCTTAATAGTAAGGGCACCCTGCTCCTGCTTGTCAGGTTAGCTAAATAAGGACACCCCCAAATTAAAGATTGAAAGGACGCGCTTGAAAATCACCCACCACTTAAGCTTAGTGCTTTAGGCTTTGGGGCTTGGGAGGAAAGGCCCTCTAAAGTAGTGCCGAAACAAATCCGAGCTTTCCTAGGAGGGCTCAGGTCGCCAAATTCTAAGGTCGAGGATCCCGAAAAACTAGGGGTAAAGGGTTTAGGGTTTAGGGTTTGGGGTTTGGGTTTAGGGTTTAGGGTTTGGGGTTTGGGGTTTGGGTAAAGGGTTTAGGGTTTAGGGTTTGGGTAAAGGGTTTAGGGTTTAGGGTTTGGGTAAAGGGTTTAGGGTTTAGGGCTTAGGGTTTGGGTTTAGGGTTTAGGGTTTAGGGTTCAGGGTTTAGGGTTTAGGGTTTAAGTGGCTGTTGGTATCATACATACCCTATTATCTGGGCTCTGGGACACCCAGAGTTTGCAAGGTGGCGAAAACGGCTGAGGTTTAGCGTCTGGTCTGAGCACAGGGTTTGCAGACACATCATGCGCAAGTAGTGTGGCTTCACCCAGCAAAGACAAAGACCCTCCGCGCCAAGCCGTTGTTAATATGGGTAGTTGTCAAATGAGGGGTCCCTTTTTGGGTACCCTAAATAAAAGGTGCCGTATTCTATTCAGGACCCAAAAAGGGACCATAATTTTGACAACCACCCATATGGAGGAAACCCTAAACCGTAGACACTAAAGCCCGGCCCGGTGCTCCTGCTGCATTCGATTGTTCTCCTCTGCCGCTTCTCTTTCCTTCTGTTGCGCCTGCAATTGGAGGATCATGGGACTTAGTAAGTAGGGTTATAAGTACCTTGAGTAAAGTTATATGTAATTAAAAGTGTAGTTACCTTACTTATAACCCCAGTTACTAAGTCCAATGATCCTTAAGCAGCAGGCCAACGACTCGGCCCAGATGCCGAGCCCGCAGCAGCACCACTAGTAGCAAGTCCATAGTGGCATGAGAAAATAGGTATCTTTTGACATGTTTTAGCATTGTATAATCGTTCTACACGGGTCTGTGTGATTTTGCAATGGCAACGGCGGTGATACTGCGTATGGCTTAGGCAGAGGTAGGTAAGGTCCTCTCGGCACGGCTACAGCAACAAGTGCGTACACACGCACACACATACACACATGATCACACACACACACCCCTGCACACAACCTCCGCAGCCCTCAACCCAAAACCTGCCGCATAACCCTTCACAGCTGGCGGGGAAGGGGGAGCATTCCGGTATCGATTCAAAATCAGCCTCTCCACACCTAAAGCCGCGCTTCCACGAAGCACTACCAAAAACCCCAAACTGCTACGCCCAAACTCCTAGGCCAAACTCTCAAATCCTGCTTTCTTAAACCTCAATGTAAAGATTCAGGCATTCACCCCAAAAGCTACTTGGAGGGTCAAGTAGATACTAGGTGGAGGAGAAGTACCGCAGCAGGGACCCGAGTCGGAGCTAGGGTTTCGGGTTTAGGGTCTTCCAGAGATGAAGCCCGATTGATCCTACAATCTGTAAAGCCCGCTTCAAGCCCTAGCATTCGTGGCAACCCATTGGGCCTACTTTATGGCTTGTAGGGTTTAGGGTTTGTTCTCCATGGGAGTTTCGAACATGGGAGTTCCAGATGAAAAAAGGGACGGAATGCGGAACATGGCAGCACCCGACATCGCAGGATCGCTATTCAAAGGTCTTACGGCTTCTAGGGTTACAGAGGTTTGGCAGTGAAGCTCAGTGTTTGGCCATTAGAGTTTCGGGAGTGAGCCTTGCAGTTCAGGGTGTGGGCGGGTTAGGGGCTAATTCAAGCTTCGGGCTTAGGGCCAAAAGCCTTTTTTGCCGGCTATGAAGGCTTAAGGGTGTAGGGTTGAATCTAGGACAGAACAGTGGAATGAAGAAGTAGACTAAATCGTGTGTTGTGTTTTTCGTTTGCCGACGGGTTTAGGGCTCTATGCTGAACTTGTGAATGTATAGGTGGACTCTTGAAGCCTATGCCATTACAAAATACTTACAGACAGCCTGTGGGCGTTGATTCATCATGAGCCAGTTATCAAAAACTCCGGCCACCTCTTCAAAAGGCACATTGTGGCCTTGCTTTCGCCAGAACTGCGCAACGCCGCTGCGCTTCCAAGCCATCCGAGAACTTGAATTTGTTGGAACGGCAACGTGCGTAGCTTATGCAGCCTACGCCACCGTAAGTTGCCAGGTCTTGGGCCCAAAAGTCCACGTCCCACTTCCGCCCGCCCGGAGTCTCATCGACCAAAAAGCCCTCCCGGAGTTCACATTGGCTTGATACAGGACTCGCCGCATCAAAATCCATCCCTTCAGGATAACTACAGGTGGGGGGGGGTATTCAATTATGATTTGAGGTGAAAATAGTCATCATAATGCTTACAAACCCTGTAACCCCAACCAGGGCACATTACCCTTACATGCTAAGTCCCATGGTCTTCCAAGTAGATAACCCAAAGCTCAACAAAGCTTGTGCAGACCAAGGAAAGCAAACTCCAACCTGACCTCGAAGCCCCGCTGTTAACAACGATAGTATGGGTTGGGTTTGGGGCTTAGGCTCCGGAAGTCTTTTTTCTTGATAGAGTATGGTCTTTGGGCCCGAAAGCCTTTACATAGCATATATGGTCACGCGCTCCGCGGCCCCCCCCCCCCCTCCCGCCCAAAGGTCAATGGTCCGGATATAGGGTAGGAGCCCCCCTTCTCTGTGGTGTGGGGTGTGGGGTCCCTCTTCCCTCTGTGGGGTGGTTGTGGGGTTTTGGGGTTTAGGATTTAGCTTAAGCTTTTGAGTGTTGGGCTTACGGTTACAAGCAAGGTATAACGCTTCGAGTCGACAAGGGCTTAGGGAGGATTTGCGGTGTATGTTCTGCTTGAATTAGGCTTAAAGCCTGCAGCTAGGTCTATAGGGTTGGGTGTAGGGTTTGAAGTACAAGTTAAGGTTGCTCAAAACAAGGGCACGCGCTGCGTTGTAGGGTTCACGGCTTGCTTGCGAACGGCTTGCGTGTGAGCCCTGACAGCCAGCACCATCCCACCATCCATTGGCAGCCCCTTTCCGCGCACGCCAGCCCCCCCCCCCCCCCCCACCCCTAGCAGACCATACCATTGGGGGGAGGGGGGGGGGGGGCTGGAAACGCCAGACGCCTGACCATATATGCCCTTCGAGCCGTAGGGTAAACCGCTACAGCAGCCCTAAAAAGAGCAGTTAAAACCGTGTAAACCTTTAAAGTAAGCCTCTAGTCCGAACCCTAAACCCTTAAACATAAACCCAAAACCCTGTAGGCCGTCTGCCTGATATTCAGGGCTCCCTGTGTCGACGATCTTACACTGCTTCCGGAGTCCTGGAAAGCTTGTGGTTCAGGGCTTAGGCTTTGTTTAGGGCTGCAAGGGTTTGTAGGGTTTAGGGTTTTAGAGGTTTGGGGTTTAGGGTTTAGAGCTTGGGGTTTAGGGTGTTTGGGGTTTAAGGGCTCTTTGGGAGCCAGACAGGGCCAGTAAGATTGTAGTAAAGAGGCCTTAGCATCGCGAATTGGGTTTTTGGGGGGGCATGCTATGACATTATTCATTATAACACAGGGACTAAAAGGGAATTTTAGCTGACTTTTTTACTCGTTACGCAGAACCCACAAGGATTGGGGCTTCCCACTATGACCCTTGTCATGGGGTCCCTAAATGCGCACTGATCAGGAAGCCGAAAGTGAATAGGGCTTCAAAGTTCAGGGTTGTTTTTGCAACTGGGCGTTGGGTTTGGACTTTGGGACCTGCAGGGTTTGGGGTTTAGGGCTTGGGGCTTAGATCCTAAACCCTAAACCCTAAACCCTAAACCCCTAAACCCTAAACCCCTAAACCCTAAACCCCTAAACCCTAAACCCCTAAACCCTAAACCCTAAACCCCTAAACCCCTAAACCCTAAACCCCTAAACCCTAAACCCCTAAACCCTAAACCCTAAACCCTAAACCCCTAAACCCTAAACCCCTAAACCCTAAACCCCTAAACCCTAAACCCCTAAACCCTAAACCCCTAAACCCTAAACCCTAAACCCCTAAACCCTAAACCCTAAACCCTAAAGCTCCCAATTTGCTAAAACCTCGTTTGGCAGCGCAGCAAACGGATGTACCCAGACACTTTAACATGGAGTCGGGCCTCGGGTTAAAGGATCCAGCAAGTGGGAGTTTCCGAAAGGGGTACCTTAAAGGGATCTATAAGGGTTACCTTAAGGGGATCTATAAGGGTTCTATAAAGGGTTTAGGGTTTAGAGTTTCCGAAAGGGGTGCCTTGCTTAGTTTGGGGGGTTCTTATAATAAGGATCCTACTATTTAGGGTACTATATGAGCGTCCCCGATTTTCAGAAACTCCCAAGTGGAAACCCCAGACAGGTTTAGGGTTTAGGGTCAGACACGGCGTCTTCGAAGATTCCATTCTTGGATTCTTCAAGGAGTCTGTGCACAAGCTTTAGCAGCGCTGACTCAGGAAGGTACTTTTTGCAACCCTCCCACCCCCTACCTGAGCCCTATACCCCCAAGCACCTAAACTCGGTTTTAAACAATAGCCTTTCGGTATCTACACGCTGAAGCCTAAATCCTGAAACTCAAGACACCAGGAACAGGCCGCTCGATATGTAGGCCTAAACCCTTCAAAGAATCCTTACAAGAATCCTTAAAGGAATCCATAATGCCCTAAACCCTAAACCCTAAACTTTAAGGGGTCTAAAGGGCTCCTCTAAGGGATCAGGTTCCCTTTAAAGGGAACCCTAAGTTCCCTTTAAAGGAGCCCTAGGTTCCCTTCAAAGGAGTTCCCTTTAAAGGAGCCCCAGAATTTTCCTGTAAAGGCGCCCTAGGTTCCTTTTAAAGGAACCCTAGGTTCCCTTTAGAGGAACCTTAGGTTCCCTTCAAAGGAACGCTAGGCTCCCTTTAAACGAGCCCTTACACGATCCCGGCCTTTCGGTATGTAGCCGAGCGGGTCGCCGGCATTCTCTGGCAGAACGCCCTCTTTGGATCCTTGTGGCCAGCATTTAGGGGTTTAGGGTTTCGGGTTTGGGGTTTCGACGCTCACACTCGCACAAGACAGGCAAGGCTCCACATAGTCTAGAGCATCTCCACTACAGCCGTGGGAAAGTGTGGACAAATCATATATGAAAGATAGAGATACTCAAGGTTTGGGGTTTAGGGTTTAGGGGTGTTTAGGGTTTAGGGTTTGTTGACAAAGTATAGGGGCTTTAATGACTAGAATAGGGGTCGTTTTAAAGGGTTCCTTTTAAAGGGGGCTAGAAAGGCTACTAAGGGCTATTATAAGGAATTGAAATTAGAATAGGGATTTGGGGCATATTATTGTATACTTATAAGAAGGAACCACCAGAATAGTATAGGTACTATTTGAGGCACCTATAGTATGAGGTGTTGCTTTGTGTATGCGATAGGGGTTACTTGGACGTTCATGGGTAGTTATAAGTGGGCTTATAAGTAGGGATACTATAGTTATAACCCATATTAAGGGACTTATATCTGCACTTATGAGTGATGAACCTCCAAGTACTGCTGATGGACAAAATCCTGCATGACCCTAAGGACTCTAAACTATGGGAACTATGGTATATTCCTTATAATGGGTAATGCAGGATTTTGTCCATCAGCAGTATGAATGAATAGTTGAAGAGTGAGAGCCTGGGAAGTGTCCTTGGGGCCTGGGAGTTCGGATTTAGGAGTCAGGAGAGTTCTGAGATCCGAAGCTTGCAGTTCAAGATCTTACTTAAAGGATCATGGGACTTAGTAATTGGGGTTATAAGTAAGGTAACTACAGTTATAATTACTTATAATCCCAATTAAGGTACTTATAACCCCAATTAAGGTACTTATAACCCCACTTACTAAGTCCCATGATCCTTTAAGTACGGCTCTAAACCTGAAACCCTAAACTCCGCAAACCCATGCCTACACCACTTCACCCTAGCTGTGGATTGTCACCCTGCAGCCTGAACCGTTTCTGCCCAAGTAAAGCTAAACTAGATCTAAGAGTAACCTAGGAACAAAAAGGGTGCCCTTTTTGGTTTAAAGGGGGTTATAAGGGAACCTAAACCCTAAAAAAGGGAATAAGGGCCTACTCCGGGTCCTAGTAAATGGGACGCAAAACACCAGTTCGAACTATAACTATACTCGACTTACTAAGTCCGCAAAGGTCCAAGACTACTCCCAGCTCTGTGCGCTTCTTCAGCCGCTGGGCAAAAACTCACCACCCCACCTCATGAGAATTCGCATGCACAAAACCAAAAGCACCTTTGCAGAATGTTGCAATGGTCAGATACGTGTTGTCGCCCTTTACCTTACCTCGGGGGTGGGGAGAGTACTTTTGTTAGGGTGTGGGGTTTCGGGTCTCGGGCAGCAGCAAACAAGATATCGAGCAGGAAATGACTGCTGCACATTCGCTTTAAGCTTTCATTCAACAACCCGGGCTTGCAATGGCATAAAAACCTAAACCCAAAACCCTCAACAATACACCTTTGCACTAATGCTGTTCCATGATCCTCCCTAAGAGCGAAGCTCCCGAGCCCTAGCAACGCCCTGCCTTACGGTCGACACTGCCCGAAGCTTAAGTGGGTCTGGTAAGTCTCTGCGGGCATGCAATGATTGAAGGCGACGGAAAGACACAAACATTCTTGCATCGAGAGCTGAGGCAGTCAGGTGGTTTGCCGAAGTATCGCCACATGTACTCTTCTTCCCGGTCCCACGGTGCCAAATGCCCCTGACGCTGCTCACCGGGTTCAACACTCACCAGCAGCTGAGTTTCAGTGTCAATCTGTCCGCGTCCGGCTGATGATATAAATCCTGCATTACCCATAACAGGGAATATACCATAAATTCCACAGTTCGGGGTCATTAAGGTCATGCAGGATTTATATCATCAACCGGTCTTAGCACGAGTCCATGGTCTCTGCACACACTTGTGATGCTCGAGTAGTGATTCCAGCCAACTGCACTGTGGCAGACTTTGCTTGCTCTCCAAACCTGAGCCCCAAACCTAAACCCTGAGCCCAAAAAGCCTAAACCCTAAGGCCCTTATAAAACCTACACCCCAAACCCTGCTGGCAGGTCTGTGAGTACCTAAGGCTGGGGGCTTTAGTCGGATCGCAAACCCTAAACCGCAAAGCCTGCACACTGAAATCTTTAGCCCTAAACCATAAAACATGACCCAAGGACCACGTAGACTCAGACAAAAAGGCAACAAGCCCTGAAGAAACATTACCCGAAATGTCCATATACACTACCATTGTGGAAGTAGGTCCCCAAAAACCATTATGTACCAATCCCGGTAAAGATATGGACCCTCTGGGTTACTACCCTATGCCCCTCTACCGCAGTCCTTCGGGTCCGTAGAGATCAGCCTTGCCGCTCTTAAGGAAGCCCTTCTTCAGCACTGGCGGCTTGCCTGGGCGTAAAACACCTATAGTAGAAGCCAGAAAGTTGGAACATGGCTTTAGGAGGATTAGTGCTAGGATCCCTTATACTTTACCTTAAGGGCATGAGGCCAATGATGTTCCAACTTTCTGGCTTCTACTGTAAACCCTAAACTTTAAGGGGTCTAAAGGGCTCCTCTAAGGGATCAGGTTCCCTTTAAAGGGAACCCTAAGTTCCCTTTAAAGGAACCCTAAACCCTAAAACTCTGCTCTCGAGAGTTCTGAGACCCTAAAGACCCTCAGGGTTTAGGGTTTTAGGGTTTAGGGTTTAGGGGTTTAGGGTTTAGGGTTTAGGGTTTAGGGTTTATTCAGGGTTGGGGTTCAGGGTTTGAGCTGCTTTTTTCTGAAAGCTTCTACCCCCTCGACCCTGTCCTCCTCGGCACGACTCTAAGCTCAAGGTTTTGGGGTCTAGGGTTGTTTGGAGCTTTAATTCTTTAGGGTTATGAATTTGGGAATTAACAGCTGAGGGGTTTAGGTCAGGATTCAAGGTTGGTCCGGTTACGTGGGAAGTACCACAAGAAATACAGAGAACAATTGCACGATTCTTTAAACCCTTATGGCAAATAGTATACTTCCTGGCACTGAGATCCTAGCTCCAAGAAACAGAACCGCATCTGACCCTGAATTTGGAAACCCGTTTCTTCGCGAAAACTTACCCAAACCCTAAACCTCAAACCCTAAACTCTAAACCCTAAACCCCAAACCCTAAACCCTAAACTCCAAACCTTAAACTCTAAACCCGAATCCCCCAATGCTTCAAGACACTGTATCCAGGCGTGATGTCCTCGATGAGAACGGCTGGAGGCTCTTCTGACCTCTGCTATGTCGCTTTATGTCGGAGCCTTAAGGAGTGAAAGCCGGGTTTAGGGGTCTAAGCGTTTAGGGTTTAGGGTTCAGAGTTTACGGTCTAGGGCATAGGTTCAGGGTTTAGGGGTTCAAGATTTTGGGAGCCTTCACGTTTAGAATATTAGCTTCCAAAAAGGCTGTCACAGTTCAAACAAGGTTTTGGGGTAGATTTCGCTGTAAGTATAAGTATAAGTCAGGAACCCTGAGGAATGGTACTATATCATATCCAGGTTTCTAGTTTATGAACCTATGAACTTTTGCATGGACTAGAAAGAGGGGCCACTTCATAGCATGCCATATACCCACCCATGAACCTTCAAATACGTCCAATAACAGAAGACGGGTGTAGGGCTACATGGCTCATGTAGCTGGCAGGAGGCTCACAAAAACCGTCCCAATCCCTGGAACACATTGGGAAACCCCATTTCCTGCTGCCCAAGATCCACGCCAAAACATGCTGAAGAAGAATTCAGGGTGTAGGGCTGCACTGTAAATCCTAGCCCCCAACTTAGGTTCTGAGAAAGGCACGGAGGCTCAGCTTTTGGAAGCTCCTCGTCGAAGCAATCCTGGTCGTCAGGTAGCTCTCCTTTGCCACAGCAACTTAAGGGTTCAAGGTTCAGGGATTATACTTGGAAGGGCAGGGGACTTAGCAAGAAGGTTACAAGTAGAGTTATAAGTACCCTATAAGGAGTTACCCCAATTATAACCCTACTTATAACCCTTCTTACTAAGTCCCCTGCCCTTCCAAGTAGGGATTAAGGTTTCGAGTTCAGGCTCCGGGTTCAGCATTTTAGGGCTTAGGGCTTTAGGGTATCAGGGTTTAGGGATTTAAGACTTAGGGTTTAAAGGGGTTTAGGGTTTAAGGAGTTAAGATTTGAGGTTTAGGGGTTTAGGGGTTTAGGGGTGTAGGGGTTTAGGGCTTAGGGGTTTAGGGGTCTGGGGGTTTAGGGTTTAGGGTCTAGGGGTTTGGGGCGCTTGTTAAGAAATGGGATATATCGTAGATAACACTGGGTTACTGAACATGACAATGTAGATTTCTGACGAATAAGCCCGCTCTTCCTGAAGACCTATTAATTGGGATCCCGATCACAATCCGTTGTGAGGTAGGGGCTTACTCATCAAGGCTCTACCTTATGAGCCGAAGTACATCCTCCAATGGAGGGAGAGTTTCGAGCTCAGAAAGCCCGATACCCTTCCGTCTTCAGTAAGAAGTTCAGAAATGTTGGTTCGAGGTTTGGGGTCAAATTGTTGCTTGCTACAGTGCTGTCGTTGAAACGATAGCTTGTTTTTATCTGAGCCTCTGAACGGTACTATTAAAGTAAAAGCCAGAAAGTTGGAATATGATTATCCTAAACCCTTTATGGTAAATTATAGGGTATCCTACCCTGAAACCATATTCCAACTTTCTGGAGTTCTCTTTACGATGATTTGGAGCAGCCCCACTCAGCGGACGTCGTCGTTAAACTTGGGAGTGGAACCATCCTCCTCATAAGTTGATGATAGTGCCCTACTTGCGTGCTAGTGGGTGCCTTCTTAACGGAAACCCACGTACCCTAAACCCTACTACACCCTGGTGTCAAGGTAGAGCGGGGGTTAAGGTCACAAACTTGGAGCTTGAATGCAATCCTAAGCCAAACATCTTCCAAAACCCTTGCGGAGATATTCCCGACAACTAGAAACCTAATCAAACCCGAAACATATATTATGCCAGCCTCAGCTGGTATTGCACTAGCTTCACAAGAGCGACATTACGGAATCCCCCCCTCTGATCTTTGACACCCACATCCCTCAACCCTACCTGAACCCTGAACCCAAGTGGCTTTTCAAACCTGCGCGGCCCACGTAGAAAAAGAACCCTGCCAAAGCTCGGAACTCCCGTGGCACGCTGTTGCCGCCCTCTTCGCCATCTTTATATCTAAACCTTCGGCTGTTCTGGGGTTTGGGATTGGGGACAGCAGAAGCACCTATGGGGAATCATAATAGACCCTAACCCTACACCCTAAGCACCATCCTATAGCTACCCCTTGCATTGCTTCATTGGAATGCAACTGTCGGCTCCAACCGTTGGGGCTCATTTCAGGGCTTTAGCACATAGGACTTAGGGTTTAGGGCCAAGTTTAGGGTTTAGTGATGGGAGGCCGAAAGGGGGGGGTTAAGATTCTTGGCGTAGGGATTCCTTAATATGAACCCTATTATGGGAACCCTAATAATCCCTACTAAACCCCCATAGGCTACAACCCCTTTTGGCCTCCTATGGTTTGGGTTCATTGCGGTTTTGTGCCGTTGAAACGGTTGATGGTATAAATCCTGCATGACCTTAAGGGCCCTAAACTATGGGAATTATGGTATATTCCTTATTATGGGTAATGCAGGATTTATATCATCAACCGAAGCAGTCCCCTGACTCCTCCGAAGACATGCCAGGCTCGAAAACTCCAATCGCATGGCCCAAGGACCCCTTATCTAGGGGCCTTAAACCTAAACCCTGGGGTTCCTTAAAGGGTTCCCTTAAAAAAGGTGACGGCTATAAGGGCTACTAACTAGAAGGATCTAGTACAGGGGCCTTAAAGATCAGAATAGCGGCTTTGGGTCCCATTGTACTATACTCATAACCGGGAACCTCCCACAATAGTATTGGTAATTATATAGGCCCCTCCACTATGACATTAGGGCTTGAATTACGGCAATTAAGACTGGGGTCCCTGTTCGGGTCCCTGGTGTATGAAACTCCCGTCTCCTGCCCGGGTTTAGGGTTTAGAGTTTAGGGTTTAGGGTTTACGATCCCTGATAAACGCTACGGTCGATGAGGGTGCACGAAGGAACTGACAAGAACCCTTGATTCAAAAACCTGGGAACCCTCCAACCCCCCCAAACCAAATGCCTCTGCAATAACAGTATGGTTTTGGTAGTATGATACTATACCGGCTTACACGAGCTAGAAGTGAAACTATTCCTCACAATTCCGGCCCTTACATGAAACTTTCATCCTTCAAGAGGCTCTTTGATCAACTTGATGGACGATGCCACCAACTTCACATTAAGGCTTTCCTGCGCTCCGGAGCACGCGAGGACTCTGCGGGCAAATTGGCTAAATTTCTGAACCGCAGAGCCGACAACTTAAAGCCCCCAAACACTTAAACTAGACCTAAGAGTAACCCCGGCATAAAAAGGATGCCCTTTTTGGTTTAAAGGGGCTTATAAGGGAACCTGAACCCTAAAAAAGGGAATAAGGGCCTACTCTTGGTCCCAGTAAACCATGAATACCAAACCCTAAAGCCCTGAACCCTTAGCCCTCAACGTCTCAACCCTTTGACCGTATAGCATGGTGTGTCGTTCGGCCCCATTGAGGCAACACCTGCATGGGGGGAGGGGCGGCGGTGCATGAATCAGACTCCGAAACATTCGGCCCCTACGCAGACTATAGGGGCTTAACTGATTACTATGGCGCTTTCTGGTTTTTTAAACGATTGAAACAATCAGGACGCTTAAGGAAAAGTATTACGAATTGTTCAGGCTTCGACAGTGATGGAGACTCCTGATTAGTGGACCCCTGCCCCTTCTAGGGATGAAGCTCAGGGATCCAGATTCTGGGGCCCTTAGAGAAAGTCTACATCAGGGCTTCAAGGAAGGTTGGGGTTGCGAGATTTCGGGTTCATGCTTGGCGGATATGGGTTTCATATTCCTCAAATCAATTAGGGATCCTACTATAATTTGAAGGAAAATTCTTTAACTAAAGGATATTGGAATCTCGGGGTTCTGGGCTTCTAGGATTCAGGGAGTCTCTTAACCTCCTAAACACGAAGCGCCGAGCCTAAACCCAAGCCTCTGACAGCCCCCAGCTGTTAATTATAGGATCCTTAAGGGGGGGTGGTTCAAGGGGGGAGGGTACTAGGGAGCTTTGGGGAACCTTAGGGAAGCTTAGGGAGTATTGGGGAATAATGGGGATTACTAGGTTACCTACCCCCCTTGGACCACCCCCCCTTAAGGACATCCTAAGTTAAGGCATTTGATTTAGATTACCATAAGAAGGAAACCATATTATTCACCATAAGTCCGGATTATGGCAACCTCAAATAAATCCTTTACTAGAGGCTGCCCCCACCCTGTAATAGTGACGACAAGGATTACATTAGGGCCCTATTATATTCCTACTATACCACTATTACAGGGTGGGTGCCCCTTCTAACCGATGCCTCTATCCTCTTCAAGGTGAGGCCGATGACAAAGGGCCGAAACGACTCCTTGTGCGATGGGTGTAGTGCCCAGAGACTCCAATATCCCTTAACTATAGAATAGACCTCAGATTATAGCAGGATCCCTAATATGATTTAAGGAATATTCCTTACTTAAGAGATATTGGAGTCTCTGGGTGCTGGACTGTAAAGAACTAGAACTCGGTTCCTTAGGGTTAAACTCAGATTCTAAGTCTTCAGGCCCCTTTGGGGTGTAGGGACCCTTTTCGCGTTTTGGAGATTCGGGAATGCTGACGAAGGAGGCGGGGTTTTAGCGTCCTAGTCACATCCGCTTTCGGTTCAGGGTTGGGTTAAGTGGCCAGTGGGGTTTAGGTCCTTTTTGCAGCATTTAAGGCAGATCAACTGGGAAGTTGCAGTAAACCCTGAACCCTAAACCTTAACCGGAGAATCATCCCGACAGTAGCCCCACACCCTAAACCCTCACTCTGAACCACTTCAGATATCCAAGGGTCAAAGGAGGGACCCTTAACAAGGACTCCTAGTTATATACCCTTGATATAACCATTATATACCCATTATATAGCCCATTATATAGCCCATTATAGGGTAGGGGTCCCCCTTAAGAATTCCCTCCTTTTCCTTTTCCCCTTTGAGGATAGGGATGTCTTCATGTCCTTAACTCGACGAATTATGCTATGAGTAGGATCATACTAGAGGGGCTGACTCTTCTAAATTTGCTTCATCAGGGTAGGGTTCTGTTGATGATATAAATCCTGCATTACCTTAGGAACCCTAAACTATGGGAATTATGGCACATTCCTTATTATGGGTAACGCAGGATTTATATCATCAACCGGTTATATAGAATCAATAGGCTGGAAGGTTACTCCGTCAGCCCCTCAGTATAGCATCATATCTAGGTCATTGTCGGGATAGGATCAAGCATGTACATTTTTATTCCTTATTGGGTTCAAGTACCCATAAAAATCTAACATGTTACCCAACTACGGTTGATGATATAAATCCTGCATTACCCATAATAAGGAATATACGGTAATTATGGTATATTCCTTATTATGGGTCATGCAGGATTTATATCATCAACCGTATGACAAAGATATTGAGTGTGCTGGATGGGTCGCAGATCTCCGTGGGGCTCCGGGGAGACTCACCAATTTCAAGAGGTTTCCGACTCGAAAACCCACTGAGTGGGAGTTTCCGAAAATAAGGGACCCTCATATAGTACTTTAAATAGTAGGATCCTTACTATAAGGACCCCATGAAATAAGGTACCCCTAGTTCTCGGAAACTCCCGAGTAAGCCGGAAACGTCAAAGCTCCAAACCCTCAAACTCTAGGCCGAGTACCCTGAACCTTCTACCCTGAACTCTGAATCCCTACACAGTAAACCCCTAGAAAGTCGGAAACCTGATTAAGGCCAAATAGCGCCGGGATTTCGCATGCATTACTTCTAGGGATTGAGGCTACGGGGTTTCCAACTTTTGGGCTTCTACCGTACCCAAACTTGGAGGATCATCGGGCTGAGTAAGTAGGGTTATAGGTACCTCAGAGTTACCTTGCTTCTAACCCCAATTACTAAGTCCCATGATGCTTTCAGCAAGCCAAGGATCCATGGCGTTGCAGAAGCCGTCGTCAATGAAGAGCTGCACGATCAGAGGATTAAAGACGACATCCTTGGCTCGGGTTTGGTTTAAGGGTTTAGGCTAATTAGGGTTTAGGATTGTGGCCCTGAAAGAGCCCTCAAACATACTAAACCCTAAACCCTATACCCTACAAACCCTCAACCCTAAATACAAGGATCTTACAGTTAGGGGCCTTTGGAATACAGCTTTTGGGCCCCTTCTAGCCCCGAAACAAGGAGCAATTGTTTCAGTGCCCCTTTGGGCACCTATCTACTTGTACAATTAACTTATGAGTTGTTGCAGGGTTCCTAAAACCCTAATACAAATAAATTTTAGTTGTTGCAGGGCTTGTGGGGGTCAGGGCTTGGGGTCTGAAGTCTAGTTTTTTGCGTTATAGGAACCCTTAACTGAATCCCTTAAAGGGACCCTTTAAAGGAACCCTAAACCCTGAACCAAAGCCGCTGGGAACCCTCAAAAGAATCCTTTACATGAACCCTGTAAAGGAACATAAACACCTCAAGGAACCCGTAAAACCCTCAACCCTAAACCCGAAACCCCTAAACCCTAAACCCTAAACCCCTCTAAACCCCTAAACCCTAAACCCCTAAACCCTAAACCCCTAAAACCTAAACCCTCAACCGCTAAACCCTAAACCCCAACTCCCGGCAAGGCGGCGATGCACCACGTTGTGTGCCGCGCACCCTCGGCGCGCTCGCCCTTCACCTTTCCTCAGGCGATGGCAGGCTTTGTTTAGGGCTTTCTTGAAGTTTAGGGCTTACGGTTCGGGGTTAGGGTTTGACCCTAAACCCTAAACCCTAAACCCTAAACCCTAAACCCTAAACCCTAAACCCTAAACCCTAAACCCGGAATTAGGCTTTCTACCTTTCGGGTTTTGGGGTTGAGGGTGAAGGGCCTGGCAGGGTGTGTTTTGGCCCTCGTTTTTGTTGGGCTGGTGTTCGGGGCCTTCAACTGATGGCTTGGGCTTCTTAGTTTTTGGGGCTTGGAGCTTGAAGGGTGCAGGGCTTCGGGTTTAAGGCTGGATGTTTGCATGTTTTGGGGATTTGGGGCCCTAACCCTAAACCCTAACCACTAAGACCCAGTTTTAGGGCTACGGCTTTTGGCTCGTCTGCCGGATGACTGATGATGGGTCCCGACAATGTAGAACGAAGGTCTATCCTGAAGGTTATCCTGCTTGCACAAGCCTGAACCCTAACACTATAGTATAGTATAGGTGGAATCCGAAGGCGAAATTTCCAAACCGGAAGCTTCGACACGAAGTCCGACTACTCAAATCCTGCGCCGCACTGTTCTGGAGCTTTAGATAAGCCACGTGCGCTTTGGTTTCTTTGCCGTCAATGACTACTTTGCAGGGGTTGCTCCAGCTAATTATTTTGAGAACCGATGTATTTCGCCGCCTGGGGTTTGGGGATAGGGTTCCGGATTTGCGGTTTAGGGATAATGTGTTTTGCTTCAGAGTTTGGGGTTTAGGGTGGGTTCAGGGTGTCGCTTGTAGGGTTCATGCATGGTCCGGGCATAGGCTCTCGATGCTAGGCGGAAACATCTGACGTCCAGGCTTCTGGGAACTGAACGATCAGCTCTTGCAATTCTAGCATTTGGGAGTTTCCGAAAAAGAGGGGTACCTTATTTGGGGGTCCTTATAATAAGGATCCTAAATAGGGTACTATATTCGGGTCCCCTGTTTTCGGAAACTCCCATTTTACCTAGGGCGGTGTGACATGATCCTGTTAAAAGAGTACATCGTTGGTTTCGTTAGCAATAGTACAACGAAATGACTCCTGAAGTTTCTTCGAAGTACACCAGCCCTAATCCTCCATCAGCGATCTGCAAGGCCCGTCAAAGGTCTCTGTGCATGCACTTTATCAGCCCCCACCCCCCCCCCCACCTGGCGCTCGAAGTGTGCCGAAAGCCAGCGGGGCCAATGGCAATGGGTGCGTGGTTTGCAACCAAGCTCGCCAATCCATCGCATGTTCGTGCTTCTGGAGAATCGTCCTTGTAAGCTGCCTCGACAAAGGCATCCCCCAACTGTCTGGGGTCTTCGGGGAAACTCACAACCCCTGCGGTGGCAACACCAGGGAGCAACTGGTCGGGGAGCCGCTTCGCTGCGAGCCGCCATTGAGCTTAGGGTTAGTTCTTTCGCTTTGAAAACCGATCGCCAACAATTCTTGGCGATCTGCAGATCCATCACGAACCCCTAAACCCTAAACCCTAAACCCTAAACCTGTCTGGTTCTTCGTAGGGAATGGGGGAATGGACTATTGGGACTACTATAGGGGACCTTAAGGGATGATCATAGGGATCCCCATTCCCCCAGTCCCTACTACTTAAAGGATCATGGGACTTAGTAATTGGGGTCCTTAAGGGGTCCCTTTAAGGAGTCTGTAGGGGTACTATAAGGGTTTAGGGTTTAGGGTCTACTTAAAGGATCATGGGACTTAGTAATTGGGGATATAAGTAAGGAAACTACACTTATAAGTTACAAGTACTTATAGCCCCAATTAAGGTACTTATAACCCTACTTACTAAGTCCCATGATCCTCCAAGTAAGCACCAGGCAGACTACGAGCGTCAGCGCGTAACACCTGGCTTTATTGGACCCGATGCTATATGGGTGGTTGTCAAAATTATGGTCCCCTTTTGGGTCCTTATTATATTACGGCACCTGATATTTAGGGTACCCAAAAAGGTGCCATAATTTTGACAACTGCCCATATGGGAGCCGACTGAATCTGCATACTTGTGTAGATAGAAAGATAGACGGGTAGAAAGAAAGGCAAATAGATAGATACATAGGGAGAGAAAAACAGATGGAGACCGTTACCAACGATTCTGCCAACTCGGTATCACTGCCCTACTCTCAAACCCGGAACATGCAAGACTGGTGATGCAGGGGCCCAAATGATTACCTATACTATTCTTTGGGGGTGTCCCTAGTATAAGTATTAGTATAATATACCTCAATACCCGAGTCTACTGATTAAGGCCTTTATATTAAATCCTTTTAGTAGCCGTTATAAGCCCCTTTCACAGGAACCCTTTAAATGGAACCCTGTTCTGATTATTAAGGCCTCCTATACTCTAGAACCCTACTATATATAGATCCCTTATAGAGCCTTTCAAGGAACCCCTTTAAAGAGAACCCTATTCCAATAACAAAAGCCTCTATATCTTAGAACCCTTGTGGTAGCCCTTATAGACCCCTTTAAAGGAACCCTATGTAAAAACTATTGAGGCCGCTACCCAGAGACTCCAATATCCCTTAATTAAGGATTATTCCTTAAATCATATTAGGGATCCTACTTTAATTTGAGGAATCTTCCTTAATTAAGGGGTTTTGGAGTCTCTGGGTTCTAATTATTGAGGCCCCTACGTGGAGGGTCGGGGGACTTAGTAACTTGTTGTTTTACGGAGTTATAAGTACCATACCCCCAATTAGGGTCCCTTTTAGGGTACTTATAAGTCTACGTACTACCTACTCACTAAGTCCCCCGACCCTCCAGGTATGGTAGCAGCCAAGAGTCGGAAAGAGCCCATGTCAAAGGGCACCTGCGCGGTCCGCTGGAGGGGCTTCGGGCTAGGGAGTTTAGGGCTTTTGGGTCTTAGGGTCCCTTTAAGGGATCTGTAGGGGTACTATAAGGGTTTAAGGTTTAGGGTCTACTTAAAGGATCAGGGGCTTCAAAATCCTATAAAACACAAAACCCCTAAGCCCCTAAACCCCTAAACCCCTAAAGCCCTAAAGCCTTAAACCCCCAAGCCCTGGATCTGCTCCGTGGGGCTTAGCGGGCAGAACTTCTTCTGAGATGGTGTACATAAAGGATCCCTTAAGGGGTCCCAGGGATCTATAGGGGTACTATAAGGGTTTAGGATCAGATATGTAAGGTAACTACACTTATAAGTACTTCTATTCCCAGTTAAAAGAACTTATAACTCGATTTACTAAGTCCCATGATCCTCCAATTACCCGCAGTGAGTTCCTCAATATCAACTTAACACTGTTGATGGTCAAAATCCTGCAGTACCCATAATAAGGAACGTACCATAATTCCCACAGTTTAGGGTCCTTAAGGTCGTGCAAGATTCTGACCATCAGCCGTAGTGAGGGTACCCTTTTCCTATGATTCGTGCAGTTCTAACAAGACAATCCCAAGAAAGAGAACAAATGCCCGCTCGCGGAGTGGCTTTGTGCAACCATTACAAGACCCCCGAAAGAAGGATTCAACACTAAAGCCTCAAACCTGCAAGTGGGGACCCGTGAAACCTTGAAGGAACCAGGGTATCGTCATCATCTTCTGCATCATCATTCTCATCACCCTCATTGTCACCATCTTCCTTATCATCATCATCATCATCATCATCGCGATCATCGCTACCAGGAATCCTACTTACCCCGAAAACGATCCTAAGTGGCCTGGGCACAAAAAGCGCAAGGCCCTACTTTCGACTGACAGGGGCTCAGCAGCCGGCACGAAGGCAGACGGTGAAATCGGTTTAGGGTTTAGGGTTTAGGGTTAAACAGCAGACCCTCTCGGGGATCCTTAATCTCAGCTCGACCCCAAACTCCCAAACACAAGCAAATCCGTACCAAGCCCCTTTACAATGCCAAGAAACCCACAGATCCCATCCCTTGCGACTCTTTCGGCTCTGCCTGCAGGTTCGCGATGCCATGCGCCAAAATCCACTCCTTGGTGACCTGCGGCTGCGACGACGAGAACCAATCTGTCTTCTGTAATGCTCCCAAACCCCTTAACTAAGGAATTTAGCATAAATTGTAGCAGGGGCACTGATATGGTTTAAGGTAGCTGTATTCCTTAACTAAGACTGGGATTTTGGGTGCCTTGGGTTAGGATGTTACGATACTAGGATGCCCAGTAACCTAGGAATAAAAAGGGCTCCCTTTTGGTAGCGGGTAACTCTAGAAGGAACCTGGGACTGCAAAAAGGGAATAAGGGCAGCACTGGGCATCCTAGGATATGGTTGATCAAGGGTTTTGGGAAGACTGGTCTAATAAAAGTCTTGCTAGCAACCCTACTTGGAGGCTCATGGATAGTTATAAGTGGAGTTATAAGTCCCCTAATATGGGCTATAACTATGGTTGCCCTACTTATAAGCCCACTTATAACTACCCATGAACCTCCAAGTAGGCCCCTAAACCCTAAATCCTGAACCCTAAACCCTGAACCCTAAAGCCTAAACCCGAATCTGCAGGGTAGCATACGTACTGCCTATCAGTAGGATTGAGTTAAGCTTCGGCTTGGCAAGTGTTCTACCTACAGGGTCATACCGTAACCCTTTCTTTAGGATACGTAGTTTTATGGTTAGGATCTGTTACATAGAAATTTGGGTACCTTGACAAAGGGACTCTGGGTCTACTTGGAGGATCATGGGACTTAGTAAGTAGGGTTATAGGTACCCTAATTGGGGTTATAAGTGATAATAACCGGTGTTGAAGGTGTTCACCCTGGGTGGCCATACCCTGCAGCGAAGCTCACGCAGAATGTTTTCTATGGCTGGGCGCAGAGGCGACTCACGATCTCAACGAAGCAACAAGAGAACCGACAAACCAACAAACGACCTGTACAGCTTTACAAGTTGTTGGTTACAGTACACATGGCTCAAGAGGCTTTCCTACGCAGCCTTCCCCTAAGCCAAAGGATACAGGAAACACACATGTACAAGCCTACCTGAAGGAAACTATACAAGTGCCGGCAATCCCTTCAAGCAGACTACACACCTGTCTAACCTGATACCTGGGCATGCAGTGAGAAGCATTTCAACACTCCTCCTTGCTAGAGCCGACAGGCAACTAGCACACGCTGCACTATTTACAGCATGCCCGTTCCTGGGACCTCTAGCCTTGAACCTTGGCTTGCCTTTAGAGACCTGTGCGGTGGCGGTCTCTGCAAACACGGCACAAGTTGCGGGTAGTTAAGGGTGTATTACGCCTTAAATCCCAACAATTAGAATCTAGATGAACACAATCCCCGTGCGCAGTGAAGTAAAAGGGACCTTGGGGAAGTTCATACTGCGTGCGGATTTCGATCCTGGCAGGCATCGGATCTGGTGGGACTCCTGTGACTGGTTGGAAAGCAGGCTCACGATCCGTTTGAGTAGACTGCTCACGCACTGCAGGGCGGCGACGAGACTGTGTGGCCTTGGGCCGTGGTGCAGCAGGCAACTCGTGGGAGGACTGCGAAGGCACAGGTGCCCTCTCGTTGTGAGCTGTGGACTCACCTGCTGGTGGTCTGGAAGACACGTCCTCAAGACTCATGCCCTGCAGTTGGGCAGCAAGCTCATCCTCAACAGCTCTCTGCATACGCCTCAAACGCCGGGCTCGACGAGACGACGCATGCGAACCAGCCCACCACGCATCAAGCCGATCCCACAATCTCTTCAACCACTCCCACACAACAAGGACACAAACCAATGCCATGCCAAGAACGAAGTACAGCTCCAGGGATCCATCAAGCTGCAAGCCAGGATACTCGGATTCACGGCTTGAGCTTCGTGCAGGTTGGATTTGAAGCAAACACAACAAGGCACTCAACGCGACTGGGTCGACAGCTGCTGACGAGCTCGGCCTGACCTCTCGGTCGGCTGTATCACCGGCAAAGTCACGCATGCCCCATAACCTGACAAGCTCTTCAATCCTTGCAGACGGAAGAGGTTTGGTCAGTAGATCTGCAAGCTGTTCCACACCCGGGCAGAAGGCAAGCCTCAGCTTCCCAGAGCGAGTCTGCTCACGAAGGTACTCAGCTCTTACCCGTAGGTGTCGCGTTCTCCATGATCCATGACCGTCAGAAATCGCAAGTGACGCTTGGGAATCAACGTGCAAAACCCTTTCTTCCGCAACGTCAAAACCAACCGTGTGAAGCAACGCCTCAATTGATTCAAGCGCGATTGCACACTCAATCGAAGCAGTGAGTTCACTTTCAGCAGTAGAAAGTGTCACAAAAGCTTGACGCGCCGACCTCCAAGCAACTGGACATCCATGCACACACACGCACCAGCCTCCATGTGAGCGAAGGCCTTCTGGCGAGAAGCTTGCGTCACTCCAACCGTGAAGTTGGGTTCCGTCCGCCTCAAACACCAGCGACGCTGTCTTGGTTCGCTGCAAGTAAGCCAAGGCACGGTCAGCAATGCGTAGAGCACGACAAGGCGCCTTCGTAGACAAACTAGCAAGCAAGCTGGCAGTGAACGCCAGGTCCGGGCGAGTACGTTGAGACAACCACAGCAGTTCACCAGTCACCTGTTGCGCGCGGTGAACGGCCTCCCCGTCAGGGGGGCTGGAGTCTCCTTCGCCAACTTCAAACGACGCTAGCTCCCGAGGACAAGGGATTCTACCCCTCACGTGGCAAGGTACCTCATGAAGCCGCAAGACTTCTTCTGCGTACGACTGCTGTGAGAGAACAAACCCACGAGGAATGACAATGATGTCCACGCCAAGGAACTTGATCGGCTGCTCTGGGGTAGCTACCACAAACGGTGTTGTGGCCCACTTTTCTTGCAGAGCCTTTGCCAAACTTTGAAGGACACCTAGCGACCCACACAACAAGAAGTCATCAACGTACACCAACAATGCGCCCTCAACGCGACCACCTTCAACCCTGACGACTTTCCACCAGTTCGGGTCTAGGGTCGAAGGCTCAAGCCGGTAGGTCACGCCGTCAAGGTCCCACACCAACGCTGCCAAACAAGCATCTCGATACTGTCCCCACAAGCGCGGGGCCTCTCGAAGGCCGTAAACCGCGTGGGATAGTATCCACAGCTCATGTGCAACTGCAAGACCAAGCTTGACCAACAAGCGGGGCGGGGTCAACGCAAAGATGGGGAAACCTTCAAGACAAGGAATAGGCGTTTTGAGGAACGCGCTGGTGATATCCAACACTCCCAACAACCAACCAAAGAAGCTTGCCAGGGCAATCACTGTTCTCAAGCTCTCAGCCTGAGCACCTCCAGCATACACATCCAAGCCTGTATTTGGCGCCACATTTCCGCAAGCAACAAGTCTCGCTTTCCGACGGTACAAACCTTGGCCTTGCGACGAAGCCTTTGGAGCGCCCTGAAGGGCCTCTGTACTGTTGTCGGGCTGAGTGAGCGCAAGCTTCCCAGTGTCACCAACAGCTGCTGCCCCTTGGTCGGGCGGTTTCACTGTGAACACAAACTTGGAAGGTACCACCTGCAGTCGAGGATCACTCAAGTACTCGGCCTGCCTGGGGTCTGAAGGGCGCAGTCTGAGCACCGCATGCTCAATGGCCTTTACTTCTTTCTCAATGGACGGAATCCAAGGGATTGGATTGAGTGCGACTTCTGCGGGGTCTACAGTGTGAACGATTTGCAGAGGTGAGCTTAGATTGCTTAGAAGGTGTTCTATGTTCTTCGTGAACGTCGGTTCGGCTTTGCACAGGCGGTAGGGGATTACGGGTCTACCTTCGCTTACGAAACCCTCCTCCTCTAACGAGCTCCGCGAACCACTTTCTACAACCTTAAGCACCCTCAAACTGCAGTTGCTGGCGTTTGCGGCATCGCTCATGGGCTCCTGCGGAACATACATGTCCCAAGACACAGTAACCGGCCAGGCCTCATCAATCTCAACGGGTCTTTGGTTCTGCTCTGGTCCGGCCTCCTCTTTAGAGGGGCTGCATACAGGGGCAACTGGCCGATACGAACACGACCAGTTCACAGCGAAGTCTACAAACCCATCTGCAACTGGAAAGACCTCTTGCCAACCACCACCTTTGTTGACGGGTTGGCTCTCCGGGAAGCTAGGGTGTTGATGGATAGGGATCTCATGAGCCTCAGTGGCCTCCTCCTCCTCCTGTACTTGAGACAGACGCGGGGCCTGGAGATAGGCGGAGTCTGGGAGAGGAAATCCCAAATCTGCTAAGCCGTCAAGGTCATCTTTTTCGGCCTTTCCAAGCACGTCGGAAGTGTAGCCTATAACAACGACGCGGGTGCCCTTGAAGGGAGTTACGAAATGATGCCGCTTAGGATCAAACTCGAAAACTTCATCCTCTTCAAGTCTGTGCACCACACCGTGACGCTTGCGACCTCGTGCATCAGTGTGCTCTACAATAGACCCCCTAACAACATCCCCACTACCTAACTCAACCCAAAGATCGCCCCCACGCTTAGGAAGACACACTGGTAGGATGAGATTTGTAGTTCCCGGAAGGTTGGAAGAATCAGTGTGAATGTCCTTTTGACACGAGTTGGACAAACACACCGACGTGAAGGTAGCATCAGGTGCGTGATGCTGCAACAGGCGCGCGCACAGTGAGGCAAGCCACGGCTTACTCCAAGTCGATCGCATACAGCCTACTATCCCTCCCCTACGGAACATTCCAGCTTGATACTGCTCTTCGGGGTAGGCTTGGCAAACTTGCATGAGGAGATTCTTGGCAGCCTCAGGATCCCATTCCTGCAGCAAAGTCTTTGCGCCAGCTTCAAGCTCAGACCACGTCCATGAGCCGAGCTGGGCAGCTCTCAGCTCTGCTTCTGGCGGGGACTTTCCTACAACGCGACGCCTTACAGGGACAGACTCGCCCTCAAACTGCTCAGGGCACTCAGGAGGCTCAACAACCTTAGTTCTCACGTGCAGCGACTGTGTGAACCCATTGCCTTTGCCATCATCCCTGTACACCAAATGACCTTCATTAACCGTTGGAGATAAACCCGCATACCGACCTGAAA